GTATTTTTGGTGCCGGAATGGTCGAGAAGGAACGACAAATGAACCAACACCGCCGTCCCGGTAGACCATGAGGTGTGGTGGAGTGTGTTATTTTTGGGGTCGACCTTTTCTAATTCCCCCGTTCCACTGAGAAGGCAGCATCAGTATGGCACTGCTGGTCATCCAAGGGAAACACCTTACTGTTGTCACACGCTGTCGAGCTAGCAACAGTACGACTTCGCCCTCAGACTTTCCATCGTGGTGCAGCAGTTTACACCACAACGGTAACTGCTTTTCGTCTGACCACTGTCGAACAGACCTTTCTGGTATGGTAGGACCTCGAGGGAACAAGTGTTCCACCAGCATAGCTTGTTGGATCATTGTGACATGCAAGCCCGATCACCACGTCAAGGTAGCAGCTATCGTTCAGGAGTTCTGAATATCTTGTGCATCGTGATTTATTCTTAATTTCGCCTCCCACTTATTTTCTGTTTATTCAAGAATCGTTTTAGCTTCTTTGATTTTCTGTGTTGTTGGACAGTCCTGTTGAGTTACTCTTTCTTGTATATACTTTTTCGTTTCTTTACCTTTCTATGTTTCTTAGCGCTAGGTACAGTTCGTTTGAGCCAAAGGTCACCTAATTGCATCAAAATTTTTTCTTTCATATCATTTTGTCGGTGATATGGCACACTGGTTTTCGCAGGCGGCTTTCAACCAAGGGAACATGAGTTTGAACTCTGCCCAACCCATCGACATTTGGGAATCCCCAAAATAACCCACTCACTTCCTTACTGCATAGAAATGCATATAGAAGATAGACAAATCAAAATAGAATATGCCACAAAAGTACATTGGTTCAAGTAGCCATACATCACAGCAACACGCAAAAAAGAATTGGGGAAGTGAAACTGATATTTAAGTAGACAGAAATGTGAAAGCAGAAAGAAAAAATGAAGGAAAGTTAGTCAAAAACTTTCAAACTTTCAAGGTGAAAGCATGACTACATCTGCGCCATTGTTACCGATTTTTAGCCATCACTAAGGGTCACTAACCATTGGTCTCTAGCCTCTGATGCAACCCATTCCGGGCAGACTATCTTTCTACATGACCAGTATCAACAGTCAATGACTTTATGAACTAGTGCCTTATGTTGGTCCGATCAACCTTAGCATCCTTATAAACCAATCCTACTTCGTCTAACATTGCACATCAAGGTAGTTGTTGTCTCAGTCAGTGAAGGTTACCAACTATATTGACTGATTTCAAGTTAGTATTCATCATGGACTGACATCATTTGTAGAACCATTGAAAACCTAGGAGCACTGTACAGCTGTTCATTCCTAGTGTGGGACTCAGCAATGCGCATCTATGACCCCGCGAGGGGTCAAACCCAGAACTTTCAGACTCCGTGGCACGTTGCCATTTAGCCACTAGATCGGAGTCCAGTGGTTCAATTCTCCTACTTTGCCAGTTCTACCAGGTGCATATTAGTGACTTCGAGATGAAACTCCCAAAGTTCTAAAGATAAGTCGTAATCGGTCGGACAAACCGATTCGTACATGAAGACAACAACGGCATTGGATTGAGGTTGCGCTATAGTGCAAACTTGCAGAAGTAGGAGAATAGAACCATTCAATTCTGACTCAGTAGCTTAATGGTAACGTGCTAGCCGCGAAACCTGAAGGTCCTAGGTTCGATCCCTAATGTGATCATGGGTTTACACTGCTGAGTCCCACACTAGGACAAGACAGCAACCTGTTTTCCAATGGTTCTCCAACTGATCCCAATCTGTGATGAATGCCAACTTAAAATCAATAAAATAAACCCCTTACAAACCCATAAATTAAACTTATTGACTGATTTATCTTTCTTACCTATTGCCCTATGCACTAACTCACCTTGGACCACAGAGTTAATCTACGAGGAATAGATACTTATAATCAATATTCTGTAACCTTTTCATATCCTCCGTTTCCAGTGACCATGTCTCAGCCGTATAGTGGAACAGAGCAAACTACAGCGCAGTATAATCACCCCTTGCAGGATACTCCTGCATTTCTATGAAAAGCTGTCAGTTTTGCTACAGAAAGCAAAATGTTCAGGTGTAGTTATAATGGTAGGTGGCTCTAACCCTAAAGTAGGAAAGGTGAGCTGAGCCAATCGGAAAGGCACCTTGGAGGTACTAACGGGATCCCATCCCAGCAAACCCACAGCAGCGGTCGTCTGTTGCAATTTTGTTTCGACAATCAAATGTTTCTGACCAGCACTGACTTTAGTTACAAGGAGAGACACAATTTCACATGGTTTCCTCTGACATCATACCAACGATGGACACAAATAAATTGTATTGCTATAAGCCGTCGTTAAAAAGGATCAGTGACGAACTTCCGTTCTTTCTGGAAAACCTATTTGGACTCGATCACACGTTAGTATGGGCTCATGTATGTCCGCACCTTACTGGTCGCAGAAAGCAGGCTGTAGTAAATCCTATGTGCGGTCGATTGGAAGACGAGGACGCCAAATGAGTATTTAGGGATGAAACACCCAAGCTTTTAACTGAACATGACAGCAGTGCTCATCCTGAGAAAACCTACCGGGATATTAAGTCTGCTGTGGAAAAGGCTGTAAAGACAATCGGTAACTTACAACCGAAAATCCACAAACCGCATCGGATTTTCACAACGTCTTTCAAATTGGTTCATGCAAGGAGACTGACTCTAGTTGGCTTTAACCACAGTGGAAAGTGGAAGCAACTTAAACATAAATTGGCTAAGAGTCTTCACGTCGATCGCGAGCTGTGGTAGATGGCGTAAGTGAGAGAAATGGAGAAGGCATCAGCGTTGCGTAACACTCCGCAACTATTTAGACTTATTCAGGGTATTGGCAAGAAGAAAACGACGGTGAATGGAACCATCACCGAAAAGGATGGAACTCTGATAACCTCCCAGGACAACCGGCTAGAACGTTGAGTAGAACAATGTGAAGCACAGTTTAACTGGCCCCAAACAACACTTCAGTTACCCAACATCCAGTCTGAACCTGAATGGCATGTAGATATCGGGCCTCTAACTCTCCTTGAAGTTGAAGAAGCTTTTTCGAATCTGAAACGACGCAAGGCATCAGGATTTGACAGTTTGCCACTTGTAATTTTCCAGGATGGAGGTAGGAAATTGCTGCTTAAAGTGAAGTAGGCACTGCGTAGTGTATGGGAAACAGAAGTGTTGTCAGATTGGTGTACCTAACTGGTTGTCCTATCCTATAAGAAAAGAAAGAAGTCTGGTGACAACCATAGGCGGATTAGTTTGACTGATATGTCCAAGATCCTGGCGTCCATAGTGATGGGACGCTAAACTGAAGCTCGAGAGCAGCAAACTCGAAAAAAACAGGGCAGGTTTCAGACCTGAACGAGGGTGCATCGATAAGATATCCACTCTTCGAAAGATTCTAGAATACAGGCATACTTGCTGATGACCGACACTTGTCATATTTCTTGATCTGAAGGCTGCATTTGTCTCTATCGACCGTTAAATGTTGTTGTAGTGTTTGACTGTGAAGAGTGTACCAAGCAAGTATATAATGCTTACCAAAGCTCCTTACTCAAACTCATGCAACCCTGTAAGGGCTTATGGAGAGTTATCATCGGAATTAACGACAACTAGTGATGTCTCCAGGGCTGCCCACCATCATGGTTTATGTTAAACTTTGTTACAGATGTATTAGTGGATATAACCTTAGGTACGTCTGACTTCACATGGATTGACCTACTTCCTGAAGGTCATCTGGTTGACTTGGAGTATGCAGATAATATTGTCCTGCTAGGCGAGGACGCTTACAAAATCTAGATTCTTGTGAATGTTTTAAGTGGAAATCCGAGTATGTTTGGCTGGCATATGTGTCACATATGTGAAAATGCAAAATGATGCTCTAGGACTGATCTGCTGCAAGTACTCCCAGTTTAATAATCGCAAGTGAGGTGATGGGATGTGTCGACCACTCTACATGCTTGGGGATTTTGATCGGTCCGAACGGGTTAGCTGCTGACGAAATTCCAGCTCGGATAGAGACGGTCCGTTGTAAGCATTTGAAAAATTGCCATCATCTATGGCATCGACTGGTGAGATATCCGAAAAATCGGTCACAGTGGTGCAGATATATTCACTCCTTGATGTCTTTTGAAGCTTAAATATTCTCACTAACCCTTATCTTAAGAAATATTGCAAGTTTCAGGTCCTGGTAATTTTGCAGAGCTTGTTGAAGGGTAAAAATGTGATTGATGACCCTCTTCCAGGTTTCAAACATTCATGGCAGCTCATTTGCATTCTTTGTTTGTTGAGTAATTGTTCCCTCTATATTCTGATATTCATTTTGCTCAATTTTGTTGACATCTCAGCCTAATTCAAAGTCTAACTATGGACTTTTCTCGTAACATCTCTATGTACCTGTCGTTATCGGTTAATTTCAAACTAAGGAATCTATTAAACTTAAGAATTAACCCACATATATCCTATTCTTTTTTGTTGTTGGAATCCTTAGGTATGTAATTTTTTACATAACGAAGGGGACAACTTAAATAGCATACTCATGAAATCCTTTTTTGACCCTGTGGTTAACATCAGTTTTCAATAGTGTATGTCATGCGAAGTGGTTAGTGTAATTCTTACAATGTTGTTTTGATTTATTGGTTCTATGAGCATAAAAGTTTGATAAGTAGTGTCTGGATTGTGAAAACAGTGATGCATGAGCATAAGAATGGTATTCAGACATTGTGGAATAGTTTAGTTTCAATTTGTTTTATGTATCATACAGTGAGTTGATCTGTCTGTTTGTCACAAATGGTCTTCCAAACATTATCCAGTAAATAATAATACTGTTTTACTGTGTGATGCACATATAAGAAGTGAGATGTCAAAATTATTATTTCACTGACTATGCCTTGTTCAAGTCAGTTTTATCTGTGATTGAACACATTCTCTATCGTAATAAAGGTGTTATTATGTTTTCTATACTTTTATTGCATTTAGTTTCCCAGCCTAATGTCTAATGGTTCCTTGTACATACACGTATATCTTGTCAAACCCGGCTTCTCCCCTGATCCTAATACAGGCAACAATTATTCATTGAGGTACACCATATACAAATCAAAGAGTAAGTGCATATGTTTACTTAATTCGCAACTTCAGTACACTATTTTACATTGGTTTACAATCTTTGCAAAGTACCAGGATTCTCTCTTGCTGTTGAGCTTTGTGGTTTATTAATTTATGCAACTGGCTGTAAACTATTGAGTCATTAATATCGATATAACTAGCTGTGTAGTATTATTGACTTGTACATGATAAGTATTAATTATTCTTATAGTTTATAAAACCTGTGTTCAGTGTATTTGTATACATTTTTTGTCTCGTCTTGTCAAATGTTTTCTTCTCTTGCCCTCTAACTTCTAGATTTTTCTGAAATTATGGTATGGATAATTACTGTGATTAGTTTAGTGCAGCTTGATAAATTGATAGGTTTATGTACCGAAAATACAATTAACTACTTAAATCCTTCTTATCGGAAACTAGCGGTTCCGTAATATATTAGTAGTAATGCAAATAAACAATCACCTACAAGTTCATTTACTAGGCAGCCAATCACATGTTTTGTGATTCATGTGGTGTTATCTGGCTACCCAAATCTCTGTAGCTAAAGTAAAGTTCGAACTTATGGTTGAAAGCCAACTGTCTAAATCAGTAAGCTATAACTCTACTGGTAATGTAACCAATTGTGCACCCATTGTTGAGACACCTTTTGATTGACAGCATTCACAAAGTATCAGATGTCAGTATCTAATGTAAAAGACAATTACTAACATAAGGGTGCTGCTTAATAATTAAGCTTAATTAAGCTCCTAATAACGGTGATTGTCCTTTTTATAAATTTAACTCTGTGTTTTGTTTAAAATGTAATTTAATTTTCTTTCTAACTGCTTTTAATACTAGTATGAGTGAAGAATATAACAAGAACATTGTTTGTATTAATCACTCTGTTAAGCTGAATTACCCTTCATCAAGTTCCCTCTGCTCTCATTGATCTACTTATGCTTCTAAATTTGAGGAGAAGACTGCATAGTTTGAGCTAAAAAGCTACGGTATTTACTTACCGACACTCAGAATATATCCAGACAGATTCTGTTTTCTTGAGAATGGCATCTGTAGTCAAGGATACTAAAGAGTGGTCCTAAAACAGAATTGGTGTCCAGAACTTCTATAAGTTGCTGAATGTAAACGTTCACACTAATACCTAAAACTGTCTAGTGTTGTATCAGAAACACACCCACACAAGATCAGCATAAGACCTGGCATAACTGCATAGAGGTCCAAGTTACCACACCTTATATGAGCAAATCAAGCGAAAGTGAACCAAGACGAAAGATCAAGAAATAAAGTAGAAAGCAGTCAAAACCGTGAGAAAGTATTAAGGAGGGAGGGAAAACGAATAAGAAATCATCGAATTCAGTATGATGGCTAGGACGTAGATAATGCCTGGATGCATCCGCCCCACCTAGCTTCTCCATCTGTTGGTATCTGTTGTCATACGGGCCCCAACCAGAAAGTTTATATTTCCTGGCTCAGACCAAATCAACAGTTAATCCAACCCTTTTCCAGTCTAACTCTACTTCACTCAAGAATGCGATGCCACAGATAGAGACCAGGAATGCATAATATGCGACTCAGCCACCTCAATCTATGATGGCTTGCCACCTCATCATACGACTTCCCTCTCCTCCCTAAAACTCTACACCTAACTTCTACGTTACTCACGTGATGACACCGCAACACACCCTATGCTACGAAGGCAACAGTGGTCGAATACCTGAAGCCTTCTCATATCCTCTACATTTAATGACCATGTTACACAGCCCCATATAGTAGGGCAGAGTGGACTGTAACACAGTACATTCGGCACTTAATAGATAACCGGATATCACGGCGGTGCCATCAACGACGTAAGTTTGCGAAAGCCAAGCGAGTCTTTCTCATGCGTGCAGAGACCTCGTTGGTCACTAACCCACCAGGGCTGGGCTGAACTGATCCGAATCCCAAAGTAAATGAAGTGGTCAACAGACTCATCTACTTCAGTCCTTATTTTTAACCAAGATACCACTCAAGATCAGTCCTGGGACAACAATTTGTATTTGAGTGGCATTCTCAAATCGCCAATCCTGGTGTCTAGAAGAATACATATTGTCAGGTCTTAACCCAACAGGACTACATCATCTGAGTACCGTAGATCTGTGGAGGATTCTCCTGTGGTGATCATTCCCTGTGAAGTCAAACGACAAGAGAGTGAGTTCCATAGGAACGTACATGATAAAGTTGAATAAGAATGGAGAGTGGACATTGATGACGGACACCACTCAACGTATACAACTCAACATAGGGTCTAACACGCGCATGGATGTTCGAGTAGGGCTTTCGACAGAGTTATGTACTTGCTCAGCTTACCTTTTAGCGAGAGGTATTCCTACATGACGTCTCAATCAACGAAGTCAAATGACACCCTCAGGTTCAAGGTCGAGAAATGCAGGCAGTGTCTGGAGTCGATAGGTGTGTTTTTCTTCCAGTACCTAGTGGAGGGTGAATATCTAGTCTATACCACGAACGTCAGGTCTGAAACATGTTTATTTTTCTCACTAAACATTTACCTTTTCGACCAGGTTTTGTCAGATCTAAATAAATGTCTACTGCCACATATCAGTGCTGCCTTCACTAACCCCTACCGGTGTTGGTCATTGCGTAGACATTTTGTCAGTCTACATTTGAACTGCTTCCGCTCGTAATAGTGTCGGAGCCTTCGGGAATGCATTCGTATGCATCCATAAATTCGAAGGAAGCTGCTAAGAACCCTTAACCCTTCGTAACCACTCCCTGAAAATCGACTGCGGTCTTTCGTCCATCATGCTTCAATTTACCCAAGCTGGAATGAGAGTGGGTGTGTGTAGGCGATTACAAAGCACAGGAGTAAAACTTGAGCACTGTAGTAGATTTTGATTTCACTTTTGTTGGTTTATTAGAAATATCACACAGTGAAACAGTATCATTTACTGTGAACAGCTGCAGAGCTGGAACAAACTAAATATGATGTAGGATTGCTGACCAATAGATATGAAGGAAGATTGGATGTTAGGGAAGTGAAAGGTGGACAGTGACCCGAGGGAACTGAGAGAGTTGTGACGGTGATTGACACCTCTTCTTTGCCCACACCCTGGAAGGCTTTTTCTTCCTAAGGTATCTGAAAAAGAAGAGTTAGTATGTAACCGTAGAGCCTAAGACACTTCTGCTTGAAGGTTGTCACGCATGGCCTTTTTAGTAGTTTGATATTTCAGTTTGATTTTTGCTAATCCGACTATATACCTGTTTTGCCGGCAGCGGTATACCGTGGAGTAGAACAGTGTGAGCTTTTACCGAGGCCGACGTTCTCCATACTTCCTTCGCGTTAGGAATGCAGCATCCTCTTTATACTGTTGGGCGTACGAAGAGCTGCTGTCGCATCTCGTCCAGCCGGTGTCCCATCATAGCATCCCAATTTATTCTATGGTAACCACTTTGCGTTTTTATGCTATGTAGCAGACATTTCTGGTATGGTGGGGTCTTGAGAGAACAACATTGCAGCAGCATATCTCGTTGGGTCATTGTAGTACTTACTCTTGACCGCCATGTCAAGGTAGCAGTTATGGGTCAGAAGTGTGGATCGATTCTTTTGAGTCTGTTTTTTTCAATGGCGGCTTTTTTGATGAATCTTTTTTATTTTTTGGTGTTTTCATTTCATTAATAAAGTGTTCCTATCTAGATGTATAAAAAGAAAGCAGGCGTTGGTGTAGAAAAAGAAGATCCTTGCATACCCCGAAAATGTTTTCACCCTCTTCTCCTTTCATAGATTTAATCTTGGACATTTCGACCTACCCGTTCTTTCATTCCGTTTAATTCTTGCTTGTATCAGCTCTTACTTCTTCCTACTCATTCTTCGTGTTTCGTAACTCGTCAAAACTGATCAGCTTTATCCAACTTCTATGAATCTTTGATTAATATTCACCACTCAGCCTTAACAGCCTTTTTTAACGCTTACTTAAGACAACCTATCATTTTTGTCAATATGGTCTCTAAATAAACATCAAAGTTATTGTGAACATCATATATATATATATATCAAATACTTTTACTGAAGAAAATTGTATGCAACTGCGATCCTACTGCTTCGAGAGTAAACTCACCAGAGTTTCTTTACTGAACTACATGCTCTCTTCCAGCTTTTTATATTAGTTCACTGTCGTTTTTGGCGCTGCGTGTAATCAGCTATTGAGAGTTTACTCTCAGTTCCTGAGGAATCCGGTTGCAGATAAAATTCTCAAACTCTTACATCTAGGAAAACTTCATTAGCCGGATGAGCATAGGGTTAAAATAAACTAAGCTTTTAGTCTATGTGGTTTTGTTAGCCTATTCTTCTGAAGAAAAGCGCAATAATACTATATTCATGGATAGAAAGTACTAGTTACTCGAGTGAGTTGTCTACTGAGTGCTCTAGCGTTGCGATTTGTTATGTTGGGACGTGAACCTTTCTCATCTTATCATACTTTCGATCGATCTTTTTTCTGTGACTGAGTAAGGATTGTTTTCATTCATACAATATGCTTGTATGACTTTTTCTACGGTTGCCGTTGAATGTATAAAGCAGGACAAACTTTGAATCCCATTAGGATGACTTTATACGTATTGCATTCTCTGTGCTGTATGACCGGAACCAAACTGCTGCTGGAACTTCAGGTAACTTTGTAATCAGATAATATTGATAACAAAAATAACTGTATTATTGTCTATCATTTTCTGCGTTCTCAGTGTTAACCCGTTATAAACGTCGTCGTCTATCTCGCACAACTAACCTGATCACAGGCCAAACAGATACACATCCAGACTTAATAGCTAATTCATCTACACCATCCAATGTACAATACTTACCTCCTGTTACTCATTGGCATCCAAACTTGACCATTCACTTAGTTGACGATCACTCTCCTTGGATGAAAGGTTCTGTTCCGATGCCACTAGATCAATGTAAGTGTTTTTCATTAATTTAGTACACTCATAAGGTAAATGTTCTATTTGGTTACAAACGATAAATCAAATATATTTAAGTATAATGATATTTGAATGTATCCAGACCGACGAATGATTGGATTGCTTGGGAAAACGTAAGCGTCAAGTTGATGGGATTCATTGTATAAGGTGTATTATACTTGTTCTAATTGGTCAAAAACCGTCAAACATGAACACTAAACAGGAAAGTGCACTTAGCTCCTTAAAAATGATAAGGCTGACAAAGAAAACACCACTGTTTTCATGAATACATCAGACTTTACTGGGATCTGACATTTCCTTATAATTTCGATGTAATATGTGTATCATTAAAAGCTGTGGTGAACTGAAATTATGTTTAACGCCAGCACCATTTACTTTTCAAGGAAATATTTACTGTCAAACCAGTGGTGTAGCATAGATCTCACTTTTTCATCTGTTGTAGCTAATTTATACATGTACACAGTTTAATTAGACCTACTTAGCCAATATGACCTAAACTAGGAATATTGTGGAGGTACGTCGATGAAGCCATTGTCATGACCAACAAACAAGGTCTAGAAAGGCTTTTTGAATATCTAAACAGCCGCTTCATTTTTTCGTGATTATGATGACTTACAGGTGTGTATGCTACGGCATCGAATTCCTCCCGTGTGACAGGATATCTCTGTCTATATCGAAGACTGTAGTGAATGTTACGCTGTCTATATATGAAGAAGTTAGTTGTTCAGCTATCGACATGTTTAGCGGAACGTGATCGAACTTGTCTACTTCAGGCGGAAAATGTCCATGAACTGGGATATCTTGAAAAAGCTCTGTCATCATGGTTCATGCCTTGTGCTTTTGTCACTCATAAAATCATATTGATTTTTCTCCATATCATATCTAATAATTAGATAATCATAAAGGTCTCTTTCTGTATCAAAATTGAATATCAAGCTGTAGACCTAGTATTATATTAATATGAATCAATCAGGATAACGGAGCACAACAATTTAGCGAAAAACTGGGCTTACACTGCACGCACTAATAATCACACTACAGGGTTAGATACGGTAACAGGTGTAAAATCCTGTATAGCTAGGTAGGAGGGGAGATTGATTACAGAATCCTCGTTCATCAAATCAACGCCTCACACATATAACACAAATGGTTCATCACACATTGAAGATACTTGGGAGACTTATTATAATTATATAATAACGATCTGTGAACTATAAAAGTGAAGTTTGAAGGTCGTGTGATTATAATAATATGACGATGAGCAATAAATTCTGCTCAAAACAGGATCTAGGAAATAATACTGTATCATTGCGTGTCATATCAGCATGCTTGTGCATATTACTTGTTTACCCTTACCCTTACATACTTTACTTTTCGAAAAGTATCGTAGTTTCAATCTCAGTGTATTTGTAGAGAGTGTATGAATGGCCTAAAAGTTATGACTAAAGCTCATGATCTCGAATATTCAGGTCCACATATTTCACTGCCACTCACAAAGATTTCATCACTAAAGTCTTGTCATCTGACACTGCATTTATTTTGATATCCATTCACTAACTGAGTTGCTTTAAGTTAGCATATCCTTGCTACCACTTGACAATCAGTTCATGTTAAACCTAGCTGCGACTTTTTGAGTAGCTTAATATATTCTAGCAAATCAAGTCGGCCCTTCCAATCGCGTTTAGATTAACCGTCCAAGTTGAATGTCTGCTTGTCTGCCTTACACATCAGTAGCAGTACATTATACGTGATAAAATAATTTTGACCACATACGACTAACATCTACATTTAAATGGAATGTGGTTTTTCATGTTATATCTAAGTATTTATTGATTACTACTGTGAAGAAAGCCAAATAATGCTGAGCAAAACGCAATTTAATGATGCGTACTTTTATAAAGGTAACTTCCTGACCTACAGACAAGGTATTACGTAAACAAGTCTGAATTCACTAACCAAAGGCTAAATAGTGTTGAATTCTACTGTTGCTGTGCATAAAAGCAATACAAGACAAGACAAAAATCAACGTAGAATCTTTCAGAAAAGTGTATACATTTAAGTTGCCACACTTCATAGTAGCATGCAAGAATAAGTGAGTGGTCAAAAAATGTTATCAAAGTAGATTAAAATGTGTAGGAGTAAAACGAGTTGAAAGTGAAGATTGGTGGAAACGTTTAGGCTTCAGACGATGTCAGAGAGTGAATACATGCGAACCATTGTGAATGATTTTCAGCCATGTCATCGAGCATCTCCAACCGTTTATTCTTGTGGTCTCCGAGACAATCAGACAGTCGACACCTCCTCATATGACTAAGATGAAGAGTCGGAGACTTCATGGATTGTTGCTACGTCACAGTCTGGCCATCCTGAGCCTTTTTTCAGCTTAATCCAACTTTTCCTAGGTTCTCATGAACGCTGAGACGTGGCCTTTTGCGGAGTGTTGATATGATGTTTGGTTGGCCTAATGCTGCATCTTTGAAGACCCATACCATTGGCACCTGTTTACCCAGGTAAACAGGTAGTGCTCTATATTTAGGACTAACCTTTTGTAATTTCTAACCTTTCCCATGTGAAAGGCCATATCATCATGGTACTACTGGTCATCCGCAGGAAATACCTTATTATTGTCTTACCTTATCTATCCTGCAGTATGACTTCGTCTTGGAACGCGCATCATTGCATAGCAATTCATATTATAGTGGTAACTGCCTTTCGGTTTTCTACTATGTAACGGACCTTTTGGTTTATTCGTACCTCAAAGAACAAGCGTTGCAGCAGCACAGCTCGTTAAGTCATTGTGATATACAAGCCCAGCCACCACGTCAAGGTAGTGGATATCGACCGGGAAATAGAAAGGCATTGTTAGTTGGTGTTCACTTGTTGCTTTTTATTACCTGATGAACCAGTCGCTTTATTTGTACCTATATCTCATCAGTTAATGGACTCAACTTTTAACCGATGAATCATGTGCTTTGAAATCTGTTCCATCTCCAGAATCTTGGAAAACTAGGTAGTATCATCAGTCATGATGTGATTGATGTGGTTCATTATGTAGTGCACAGAAATACTTGGTTGCTACAAGAGAACATACACCGTAGTGCAGGACTATCTGCAAACGTTTATCATTTCAACTTGTTAAACTTTGCAGCATCTCTGTAATAAAAGTCAACAAAATGCATATAAGCGGTAGCGAGATAAATCCATGAGTTGTGACATTTTCAAGATGTTGCGGAATATAAGGACAGTACATTCGTTCTTCTGTGATGGCAAATCTTTATGTATAATGTATGTGATTGTCTCTTATTAAATCCACCCACTCATACACAATTCTTGTTTGCGAATTTCCAGTTATAGAATTTTATTCACCAACTAATGAATATTATCCTGTTGTGTATCTGAATGACTACTGGAACTTACATGAAGATTATAAACCAGTGAATGAGACTACACCTGTATTGCCGATACACATAACTTTTTCACCATTGTCTTTGTTCAAGTGGCAGTTGTATGCTGCACAGACAGCAAAGAAAACATGGTTCAATCAAATGATGGCCACTTCCATGTTGCAGCCAGAAAATGAGAATGATGAAGAGCAAGACACAATCAAGGTATGCATCATTATGTAGAAGGGAAATGAAATTCTTTGTTCTCCTTCTTAGTTTTCACTTAATACGTGCTGTTAGTTAGTTAATTATTAACGCACATTCTTTTTGTCGCTTATTTTGCTGCATTGCGCATTTTATTTTCACTTTATTACAGTGATGTGGTAGTTTCGTTGTCGCTGGACTTTGGTATTTTGTCGTGGATATTTCACCACCAGGCTTAGTGGCGCCATCAGCACAAACATTATTAAGCCTGGTGATGAGACGTTTGCGACAAAATATCAAGGCTCAGAGAACAGTAAATCATCCTCATTCTGAGCTACAAATCTTTCCCATCGTTTCAAAAGCATGACTCCAATCGAAATTTCCTGTTCTTACGTAAGGTAACTTTTTGTCACCAGTATATTCCCATACTCAAACCATGACCAGCTAGATATCAGAGGATGGGTATACTGCTCTACAGTCCGTTCTTTCCTGTTGTATGGCTGTTTGACATGGCTGTTAAAAGTAGAAGACATGAAGTGGTTGTAGGGTTTTGATCATAGGTGTCTTCGTAGCATTGCTCGCGTTTTAGTGGAATCACCGTGTGAGAAATTTTGAGGTCAAGAGAAGGGTACTAGGCGAGGTATGTAGGTCAATTGATAAGGTTGTAAACCTTCATCATCTGGGGTTGCATTCTTTCGATCTGTCGATACGATTCCTTGTCAAACTGGAAGTGAATGTTTTTCGTACACTGAGTCAAAAGTTGTTTCGTATCTTTTGCCGATAGAGTGATCAATTCAGATTCCAAGTGACGTAAATAGTTTCGTCTATTGGAATGTTAGGGGATAATGAAGATGTATCAAATGAAACCAGTAACTTGTCTAGCGAACTGAAAAGTATCCTCAACGCTGTGCACGACTAATTTACCACGGACAGACTAAATTTTCCTGCTGACTATTGGACTGATTTTACGACGAAGAAAGTATACGGCTCATAATATTAACTCCAATGGAATATTTTTCGTCTGGGTTTTCAAAAAGGTTGTGGACTTTCAGTGAATAAGGTGGCCTCGACATTTGTTTTGCATGCCAAGCCATCACCTACCTTGATGTGCAGTGTCAGGAGAAATTGAATTAAGCTGAAAAAAGGCTCAGGATGGCCAGACTGTGACGTAGCAACAATCCATGAAGTCTCCGACTCTTCATCTTAGTCATATGAGGAGGTGTCGACTGTCTGATTGTCTTGGAGACCACAAGAATAAACGGTTGGAGATGCTCGATGACATGGCTGAAAATCATTCACAATGGTTCGCATGTATTCACTCTCTGACATCGTCTGAAGCCTAAACGTTTCCACCAATCTTCACTTTCAACTCGTTTTACTCCTACACATTTTAATCTACTTTGATAACATTTTTTGACCACTCACTTATTCTTTGCATGCTACTATGAAGTGTGGCAACTTAAATGTATACACTTTTCTGAAAGATTTTACTTTGAATTTGTTTGCCCATCTTTCTATAGACTATGCATAAAAAATGGAGATGAGCCCCTATACTCAATATCCTTAAAAGTTGTGTTGTCCTTTAGCTCTTTCTTTGAATCACTTCTCACATAGTTCACGACACTTGTTACCGCTAACATTTTTTCTATATCTTATTATTTAGCAGTCTCAACAAATCACTGAGTACGAAAATGATCTTATTGAAGTTGATAAATGGTTATGTTTATAAATGACTATCTGTTGAATATCAACAGAGTTACTGAAAAATAGGAGTAATTTCTACGGACCCACCGTCTACATTGCATTTTGGCAGTAAACTGGATATTTGTTTACTAATTTTTTAATAAGATGTCTAAATTCAGACGATCTCTTTTCTCTCATTTTTATGTTTTATTGCTTTCTTATTTATAATGCATGTAGAAAGCTCTAGTCGAAACAAACCCATGGCTATTGGCTGTAACAGTCGTCGTTTCAATTGTGCATAGTGTTTTTGAACTACTAGCATTTAAAAATGGTAAGTTGAATAATTTCTTCTTTGTTTTATTAAAAAGTGGTATTGTTGTTCTTAGTTTACCAGTATATGTAGTTGCTTCTGCATTTTTAAAGATATGCATGGAAACTGATGAATACTAGTAGGTAGCTTTTTCATTTTCAGAACCTTCCAAGCATTATAGGAAATATTGCCTGTTCGCAATTTTCAGTCGATATTTGAGACAACAACATTGTCTATACTGAACCTGATTTTGGTTGGATTTGTCTCTTTACATATTTTAGTTATCTTTTTCGATGCGGAGGTATTCAACAGATGATTGCTTATGTCGGGTTCATATGTAACTTTTCAAGAAAAACATCTATTTTCACAAAATTTCATTGTTATCCTTTATTTACGATTTTTCATTATTCGTTATTATAAAGAAACATTTATGGTGAAAAGAATATCTTGCTGTTATCACACTGAAAACATCAAGTGTGTTTCCGCCCACAAACATGTGTTTATTCTAGCTGATGAAACTTGATGACCGCATGCCATCACTGCGTTCTAATAGCTTTAGTCCATAACCATATTCAAAAACTTAGAGTCCCGATAATTTGGTTGGTTGTGGCTAACAGAAGAATCCAGGACACGCGTTCCGTCCCACTTGGAACTCGTCGACTGGATGTGCCTGGACCCCAGCCATCTTGTCCCCACTGAGACTCGAACCCCGTACCCATCGCTCCAAACGCCGAGGCGTTACCCACTATGCCATGGAGGAACGATAGCCGCCTCTTGTACAACGGGTAGTAGTTATTACTATTTATTGACATACTTGTTATTCTTCATTGTTTTGTTCGATCGAATTGTTCGACCTATATTGGCATATGGGCTCCTATTTGGATATCTCGATATTCAGGCAATATCAAGACATCTGCATAGGAGCCTATATGCCAATAGAGGTCGTACGATTCGATCCAACAAAACAACGGAGAATAACAAGTATGTCAATAAATAGCAATAATTTAGAGTTCGTTATGTTATATGAACAGAATTCATTTTAATGCTTGAATCAAGCTTGCGTCTGAGCTGCAGTGTCGATAGGAAAAGTTCTCAGTGCTGTGCTAGACATCGGTATCGGTGCTTTATTTTCTTGTGAAGCATGAATGCAATAGTGATAATATCTAAGATGATATTAAAAGTATTCCAACCAGGTGAGAGAGCAAATCAATCTGAATATCCACATCCTTAGCTAAAAATATTCTTCACCCCATATCTTTATGCAATCATGGTATTAGTCAAACTGGCTATATCGTTATCTGAAGTTACGCGAACCAGACAAATTTATTCTGATAAACTTATTGCGGTAGTAAAAGAGTTGACAGTAGTTTCGTTGAGGTTTAATGAACTAGCTCATATGTATTTCTAACTATTGGGTGGTGGTGGTAAATGAAAATATGTTTTTCCACTCCCTATTCTGGTACTAATTATGGTTGATGATAAGTGTGGCCAGTTCACTAGATAAATTGAAACTGGAAAGTTAGTATAACGAAGTTCTTGTTGCAGATTAAACGCGTGTACAGCATTGATAGTACAGGATTTCGTGAAGTTGTATAATTTAAAGCTGTCTTTGCTGTGTAGTGATCAATTCATATTTTCGAAATTAAAGTCTGCCAGTTCATATCATAATTGACTCTCTCTATAGTTACGCCTCTATATATTGTTGGTGCATGCACATATGAATGTGCAAATCTGTTAGTGGGAATAGTCTGTTGCTTCTAAGATATCCCCTCAATAACTGGCAACACTTGTAAAACTTTGGTATTCTCTCTACATCCTTTTGCTTTTGTTGTTTTTCCGAAGTGGTATACAAGGATTGTCACTAGAGATGTTTATTCTGCTTCCTTTAGATATACAGTTTTGGAAAACAAGAGAATCGTTAGAAGGTCTTTCAGTCCGTTCAGTATTTTTCAATGTTTTCCAGTCGTTTATTGTTGTACTGTATGTACTTGATAATGATACAAATTTCGTCATAAAATTGTCTGTTGTTTTGGGGTTGTTAATCGAGATTTGGAAAATCAAAAAAGTGCTCAGTATAAAGGTGAGTTTAGTTAGTAAATGAATGCTTTTTTTGCTGGGACATTAAAGATTACTTTTCTAAGTCTCTAGTATTCTGACGTACTTATTTTTACCAGTGGAAAATTTGTTACCGATGCGATAAAAGCAATAGAAACTGTTGATATGTTTTTGTGTTCGAATAAATAAACTGTTGTGAGATGTTTTTAATTGTCGTTTAAGGCGAAGGAATTATTTCAAATTATGGTTCTCTATTTCAGCTTGATATCTGCTATACGACAACTTCCTTCTGTCGTCAGTGTTAACACTACAGGACTGGTCTGATGCATGATTAAGTAACTGGAATTGTAAATTACCAGATATCGAGCAGCCACGTTGCACTACATGAATGTAAGGTTTTAGAGTATGGTTTTAGGTAACGACCAACGATATGTACACTGCTGTAATGTTTACGACAAGATAATATTCTGTAGTCCTGGACCGTTTTAGTTGTGATGAAGAACATCTGGATCCTGTTAAATTGTCTGTATAGTTTACTCACATTAGATTGATTGGAGTTATAATCATTCATTTTCATAGGTTTAACTGGAAATACGTTGCCTTCAGTACATTTATCAATTCATCCCCTACCTCCTTACCAAGGTTATAACTGATGATATAGTTGATATTTCTCCTGGATTTGAGTTAAATTTATATTATCTTCATTGATGGATTACTATGCTGATCGCTGATAGGTCGAATTAAGTGTCTTTTGCTTTTGATGTTGTCGTTCGTCCTGTTAACAATAGAATGTCAGCGTAAAATTACATTTGATGTCAACTGGTTGATTTGATCATTCATTATTCTACGCAGAAAACACAATCATTGTAATTGGAACAATACACAGCAACGGGAATACTGCAACTGAACAAATAAAAGTGGTTTGATTGCAACTCAGCAATCTCGTTCAAGGTTTGCTTAACAAGCTATGCGCCATAATTAATGCGCCAGACCTTATTGTACTGTCTAAGTAGACAGAGGGAATTTGATCCCTTAACTCAGTAGTTAGTAGTCGATCATCGCCTAGATCATTTAGTCATATCCTATTTTTGCCATAAAGTTTGCTACTAATTCTAAAGAATAAGCTATTTCGCCTGCCTGCGAAAGGTGACTGAGCATCGTGTCTTTTGGCGTTATTAACTATGCATATTTTGGTCTACCAATTAGCAGTGATTTACATCACTTCAAGTTTGCTGATTTTCGTCAACACTCACACAAAAATTCATAATACATCATTTTGACTAATCACTTTAAGAAGCTGTACATTCGTATTCATAGTCCCAACAAAAAATACGTGCTAATTGATTAGAATTTGTCACACGATGAGATGAAATTTTTCGACATGCAGCTGAAGCTTGTTGCTAGGCATTAATTGGTAGCATTCATATAGTTAAACTAGATAATCTGTGTCGCTTAAATTTGATGAATTATTCCTTTGTAGCATCATAAGCTGCTTCATCTACAACTCGAATATTTTCATCTCAACTTATTTAGACAGCTCATGCAAACCCCTTTTAATTGACTCCACCCTAGAATTAAAAACTTTAGAGCATGGTAGATCGAACCTTAAAAAAATGTTTATACTATGCTATTTCTTTCAAATTTACTAATTCAACTATACCTAATTACTTGCCTTTTTTGAATTAGTTAGTTTGCACGGTTTCTGAATAAATAAACCCACTGTTCGACCATTTTCATTAACTGCAGTTTTCAAATTCCATCTCCTCCTACATACTTTCATATCACTTTTCTTCTGTCCGCTTGTCTTTTGGATGCTACTAGAAAGTATCTGTGTTTTGCAAAATTGACCGATGTCTATGTTAGTAAGCAATCTAGAGAGTCGTTACAATACTGACCACTGATTACCCTTCTGACTATATATGCTTCATTAAAATGAAGCTCAACTGTCCACATCATTACACTATGCAGTTGATGAAACCATTCCAGTTTATTTCATCCTAAAATACATTTGGAGAATAGTTATCTTACTTTATCTTACTTTATTAATAATTGTGCTTTTATTTGATAAATTAGGTGAGCTACGATTCGTTGATATTCAACATATTCCCCCGTGTTCAAGTGGATTATCAGGCATCGTATGTAGAAAGTGATACTAAGAAATATGATCAGGTAGTTATTTTCGTACTTCTTTTTGTTGATCATCTTGATTAATATCCAGTCATAGTTTTGTGATTTCCTATTTTCTGAAAGGTTACACTGAGTGAGTTTGTCACGCATTTCTCCGTTATCATAGTTTTCACACTATCTAACTAGCCTGGATTGTAAATGATATTCCAAGTGTTTCCAGCGACCGAGTATACCAGTGTAAATACTGTTGATCCTTCCTACGTTAAAAAAAAGGATGATGCAAATCAGCGGCGTTGTCGATCTTTTCTGCTACTCTACAAAACACTGAGTGTGAAAAGTTTTGATATTACCGAGTTATTCAGGCTAAATGAAAGAGTAAGGGTCCGAAACTGACATTCAGTTGTTGGTGTCTGATGCCTAAGCGAATAAGCCACAGTTTACACGAATTAAGTCATCTGTATCAACGACTCTTTTCGTAGGTTATTCTGACTACGAATGATCCCTTGTTGAAATATATATATGTGCGCAAATTGGTCCGCGAGTACTGCGAACTTGAATGTTAGAGACATCACCACTGTATTCTTCACGGTTATCCAGATGCTTTCCAGTTGAATGTCAAGAATCACAAAACCAAGCCCAATGGTTTGTAGCACCAAGTCAGATTTAAGAATTCCTTATTTGTAAATGATTACTTCTTAGCAAAATAACCTTACTTTTATGATTGTATGTTCTTTCAGTTTATTGGTCGGAGTCATACACCGATAGGTGCTACCTTGACGTGGTGGTCGGGCTTGCACATAACAATGACCCAACGAGCTATGCTGGTGGAACGCTTGTTCCCTCGAGGTCCTACCATACCAGAAAGGTCTGTTCGACAGTGGTCAGACGAAAAGCAGTTACCGTTGTGGTGTAAATTACTACATTATAATGGGGGTCTGAAGGGAAGTCGTACTGTTGCTAGCTCGACAGCGTGTGACAACAGTAAGGTGTTTCCCTTGGATGACCAGCAGTGCCATACTGATGCTGCCTTCTCAGTGGAACGGGGGAATTAGAAAAGGTCGACCCCAAAAATAACACACTCCATCACACCTCATGGTCTACCGGGACGGCGGTGTTGGTTCATTTGTCGTTTCTTCTCGACCATTCCGGCACCAAAAATACAAAACTTCAAAATAATCATACACAAAAGGCTTCGTGTGACAGCCTCAAGCAGATGTCCGATGGACTCTGTGGTCACACAAATCTCTTTCAGGTACATCAAGAGGAAAAAACCTTCTACGGTGTGGACAGCCCGGGAAGTGTCACAACTCTGTCACCACTCAAGTTTCCTCAGACTGCTATCCACCTCCCACCTCATTACCTAATCTTCCTTCACGTCTCCCAACTAACGATACACTACATCATCTTCAATTTCTCCTATCTCTGCAGCCTTCGACAACGATATGAGTTCACAGAACAGCATCACTGGTCTCCTTAAACCACGCTCCAAATTACATATTGGAGCCTTCAAAATCCGTACCCTCCGTCAAATTGGTCAAAAGGCTTCGTTAGCAAAGACTCTAGCAACTCGGGCCATGCATGTGTGTGCTGTGTTTGTGAGACACCCACACAGGACCCAAGTGCGGTTGTTCACCTGACCTCTCCTGACCAATCTGATGAATCCGCAAGAAAAATTCACCCTTCGAGTTTCTGCAGATTCGATAGCTAGCTCTTGCAGGTGTAGGCATAGCATTAAGCACTAGGGCAGAAAACTCACTACTAGACTGTATACCAGTTGATAGTCGCATCAGTGCTATGCGGCTGAACGGCACGAGGAGAACTAAAAGGAATAGTGAGACTCACCGTTGTCTCTTTGTAATCTGTGCTTACACACCCACTGACTGCAGCTGGGATGAAGTGAAGGACGAGTTCTACCGTGAACTCTCTAGCCTCCTCTCGAAAACCATACGATCGGGCGTAGTGTGGTGGTTGTTGCAGGTGACTTTAACGCATAGGTGAGTAGAATGAGTGAGGCAGAAAGGCACTTAGGTGACACTTTCGGAGTCCCGGCTGAACGAACAGATAACAGTGATTGCCTACTACAACTGTTCTCAGATAACCACCTATTTTTAGTTAGCACAAATTTCAGACATAAAGAAAGACACTGTCTGACCTGGAGTCCACCAAGCTCAACTCAGCGATGGATACAGATACACCACATTGCTATTAGTCATCGGTGGAGAGGATCGGTGGAATACTGCCGCTCTTTCTGAAGTACATGTTTGGATAGCGACCACATGTTGGTCCGATCGCATGTATACCTGCGTCTCAATGGACGCAAAAGAAATTTGGCAACAAAACCACCACGAATGCTGCTGGACAACGAAAACACCAAGGCTGTGTTCAGTGAGAAGTTGACTAGACAGACAGTTATCGGAACAGAAGACTATCACTCATCCAGAAGAAGCTCGATGCCATCTCCAGTCTGCTGTAAAAGCAGCACTGAAGACCGTAGTCGACTCAGAAATAGTAGCTAAACAGAGCCAGTGGATACCAGCAACTTCTTCTCAACTGATGGATGCACATGAACGCATCCCTGCCTGTACGCTCTGAGTACAATGTAGAGGGGGCGCAACTTAAAAGTAGATTGAGAAAAAGTCTACGCAACGATCGCGAACAGTGGTGGGCAGCGAAGGTTAAACATATGAGAAAGGCAGCGGCGATTGGTAATGGTAAACAGTCATTCAGACTTATTAAGGAAACTCGGGGAAAAGGTTAACAAACAACACTTAGTGAGGCTATAGTGGAGAAGGACGGATCTGCGATTCACTCGCAGAATAGACGACTCGTACGATGGGTAGGACACTTCGAGGAGCAGTTCAACTGGCCTCCAGCCACCATTGAGTTGTCCGCTATCCAGTCGGATCCTGAACGGAACACTGGAATAGGCCCCCCAACACTAGTAGAAGTCGAGAAAGTGGTAGGTAACCTGAAATGAGGAAGGGCGGAGAGACCAGACACACTAACTCCCGAGATATACAATGATGGTGGTAAGGTGCTCTTAGTCAGGTTAACTGGAGTGTTAGCCAGTATATAGGAATCAAATACGATCCCCTCCGACTGGTCTAAGTCACTCATCATCCCAGTCTTCAATAAAAGGCGAGAAGTCCTCTTGTGATAACCACAGAGGAATCAGCCTGACGAACTTAGTATCCGAAATCCTAGGTTCTATAATTCTCCGATGCCTGAGTGGAGCTCGGGAACAGCACCTTATCAGTCAGACATGAGACTTAATCCCGACATCCTCAAAAATCTTCAAACGTTTCAAATCCACATTATTACATTGTTTCTATCAATATTTTCAAAAGAAATGCTGTCAACAACGAGGTATGATTGTATTGCTTCAAAAAGAAACAATTTTCCAGTGAAATTTCGCAAAATGGAATTTGTATGTGCACAAATAAATAAGTTAATTAATTAGAAATTTGTTTCACTTTTTAGATGGCTTTTCGATATTTATCCTGGATTTTATTTCCACTGCTAACGGCTTATTGTGGATATTCACTTCTATATGAGGAACATCGTGGTTGGTACTCCTGGATATTATCTGTGTCCTATGGTTTCTTACTAACTTTTGGTAAGTTTGTGTAACGTGTTTAACTTATAATCAATCAAGTTCCTGAATAAGTTTCTAATAATACTTTTGGCTACACATAACCACAATGCTTTCACATTTAATATAAGATATGTATTCATATCATTCAAAATGTTTTGATGTGGTTGGGGGCAAAAACCACTTCGTTATCGGAGTGGACTTCATTATAACTTTCTCATTCCAGTAATGATGATTGATTTGCATACATATCACTTGTTATGTGTTTTGGATACATTGTCTTCATTTTTAATTTTATACCTTTACACCTAGTGAATAATAAATATACTAGCTGTTAGTTTATTATTAAACTATCTACTTGGTTCATGCATTACTCACTAGTACTTGATATTAATTCTGTATGCCTAAACACTGTTGTTTGTTAATATTACCTAGATGATTGACTGAAGTATGTCATCTTAGTAGCCATCAACCTAATGAGTCACTAGTCTGGAGGTAATTTTTAAAAAAGATGTCATGTTTTTTAAACTAAGCTACACAATTGTACATTGCAGGTGATATTACCATCATTATCAGTTTCATTACTTCATTTAGAGCTAGATAAAGAGAAGTTATTATAGCTTCATCTCCCATCAGTTAAGTAGATCAAGATTCTGGTAAATTGTATTTCTTTTTATGGTTCTGATCTCAGCTTGATGAACTAGGTATCATCAAAGAAATTAAGCTATTTGTTATCTGCTATATGAACAAGTATTTGTGTCAATTTATCACAAATTGAAGTTAATTAACGCACCGATTTGTTTGTTTCAAAGGAATGCATTGTTTTTGATATTCGAATATAAAACTGATTTCTTTCATGAATTCATGCAATATGATTTCCAGCCCTAATATAAACTGATTCTAAAGACAGGTAAAAGGGTTCACATTTTTTCCTCACCTTTGTCACTCATCCTTCTTTCATTATTATACTACTAACTTGCTTATTTGTGTTTTATCATGGGCGAAGGCAGTGTTCACTAGTAATTAAGTTATCACGAAATACTTGTTAATTTATCATTGTTTACGTGTATCTTATTCAGCAATGAAAAATGTTTCATAGTTATAATCAGTAATATGGTGGTATTGAATTAGCTCACGCTTTAAAGTACATCAGTGAAATTCAAGTTGCAATGATAAATTCGTGACCCTCATGGATGTCGGTTTTAAACCATAAGTTATTTTATCAGTACTGTTTTGCAGCATAGTACAGGTCAAATGTTTTTATTTTATATAGGACCGTGATTAGTTCACGTGCATCCTACTTGTTTTTTGTATCTTCTGCTGAGTCGCCAACCAAGTATCTCGTGATTTAAATATTCAACTTTCATTATTCAACCAGCCTACTGTAAGATAAATGTGTTGCTCTTCATCAGGGATTTTTCTCGATCTAGAAAATCTATTTTGTCACATAAAGTTATTTGTTCGTACACAACGTTGGTGCATAAAAGCGTTCTCATAATAACAAAGCAGGTTATCTATCCCATTCATCTGGCATAAAATTGAAAAAGACCGACTATCTGCATTTGTTGTAGGAATCTTTTATACCAGATGGAAATAGCTTTGGTGTGCATATGTGGTGTAGTATTTGCTAAATTGCAGATTTTTTGACACCTTTTACATTATTAATATCTATTCATCATTATTAATCTGTTAATTGTATTTTGTCAACGATAAAACAGTTTTAAAAGGTTAATCAGTCATTCTAGCGAAAACAGTATAACAATGCTTAGTGTTCTTTGCTTCACCTTTTAGGTTTATTATGATGACCCCACAGCTGTTTATTAATTATAAAATGAAATCCGTTGCCCATCTCCCTTGGAGAATGTTGACATACAAAGCACTGAATACATTTATTGATGATCTTTTCGCATTTGTAATTCGAATGCCTACTCTATACCGCATTGGATGTTTACGTGACGGTAAGACTATTTTTTGAAGCAATTTTTGAGATGAATAACTATAACTGTTTGATAAGTAAGGTTGGTGTTTGTAAGGAGACACTGAACAAAGATTGTGTTCTGCATTTATTTATCTAGTAAGTGTTAAAGCCTGAAAATAATATCTTCCCAGACCGTATGATAAGTAAATGATAAGGTAAATGAGGCGTAGAATGCAATATTATTTCCTTCCTTTTATTCTGTTTTCCATTTATTTTAAAAAGTGTCTATTGATATGTAATTTTATGGACGAACTGGTCACTAGTGGATAACCGATGTAGCTGTCTAGTTCTAAGTACGTAGCACTGATATATTGTTTTATGTATACACTTTTGTTCAATTATTTTTAATTCCCATAACCATTATACTTTTTAGATAATTGAAAGTTGGGAATTCCAAATATTGGTGTGATTACAAGCGCAAACTCTTCATGGGGGATAATTGTGCTTTATCACCTTATCTATTACAGTTTCCTAGTTTCCTGTGCATACTTGCGAAGTAATTTGTTGAGTTTATATATCGAATTCCAATGTTACCATTCGGAAATAATAACTTTTCCATTTTTTCCAATTCTTATATGATCTGAAATGTGTTGCAATATATGCAGCGAACCCCCAACGAAAGCTAAAAGCCATTCTTTGCATCAGATTATTCTTGGGCGTTCTAGTGGAAGAAATCCGTTAACTACAGTTCGTTTATTTAAAACATGGACTGATCATTAACAAGAATGGAATTCCATGTAAAAAAGACAAAATCAACGTAGAACCTAGCACAGAAGTGGATCGGTTCAAGTTGCCACACTTCACAGTAATATACAAAGGACAAATAGATAGAATGAGAATGATATCAAAGTAGATAAAGTGGTGCGAGAGAATAAACAATTTGAATCTAACGGTTAGTGCGAGTATTCAAACTTTAGGAGACATCAGGGAATGAATACATTTGCGCCACTGTGACCAATTTCTAGCCATATCACCAATTCGTTGTAACCAAGGAGATTGTTTAATGAACATCACTTTGCAAATTGCTAACCGATTGCTATGCAAATTTTCAACTGCTGCATAGGTATCGTTTTGCATTGTATCTTCGTCTACTAAACGGTGCTATGTAAACATGGACATTTTAGTGAGCTTAATTTTTCTTTAGTTTATAGGACGGCTTAAAACAGTTTGTCATGCACACAAAAAAAGCCTAAGCACAGTTACCTACACATTTTCTGTAATTATGGTGTTCAGTATTGTTTGTTCTTCATATCTCATTTAGGTATAAAACTATGATCTTGAAGTATCTTAGCTGTTAACAACTCATCTGCATGGTTTGATGTTTAATCATCTATCGATAACTGTATAGTCACCGTCTGTTGAATCTTAAAATCTCCGTGTTTTGCATTATTGGATCAATTTTTCAAGCCTTTAAATAGTAACTTCTGTGCTCGTCAAGCTTTGAATAATAACATATAAATCAATGTTTTCGTACAGAAATTCATGCATTTTGTAGTATTTTATCTTTGAAAAACAGAATGAAAAATGGATATAATTGTTGACCGTAGAAAGTCTAAGTAATCAGCACACTTTTAGTGTGCATAACTTCTCAATCGTTAACCTGTTTTGTTAACTGTGGCATTGAATTCACCTTTGTTTTACTATTTCCATAGATATAATATTTTTCATTTATTTGTACCAACGCTGGATATATCCAATGGATCCAAATCGCGTTAATGAGTTTGGAGTTAGCAAGGAAATGCTTGATGCTCATTCTAGGAATAAGTTGGAACAAGTGGACGGCAACGGTGATTTACCTGCCCTTTTCGATTCCCTACACTAACAATAACCTCATCCGATAATGATGAAGAGTGTCGGGGTGAGATTATATCAGTACGTAAACGAAAAAATTCAGGTTCGGTCGTAAAATGAATTTCTGAAACGAAAGAGACTGTTTTCTTTCTCTGCTCTTTATACTTAACTTTTGCTTATTCTTCTGATGAAAATTTTGTTTTGTTGTCCATGGAGTGTTCAGTATATCTTGGTTTTAAACTTCCGTTTCTGTTCCTTGAAATGTTTCAAAACCAAATTGCCCTAGTCGCAATTCAAACCCGTTAACATTAGGTTAATTTTTCCCGGGAACGAACTGTCCGTTTGTATATTATACTCGTACACGTAGTCTAGCAAAATTAGCTATGTAATATATTGAAGCGTTCAAGTATACATTAGTATGATTACTTTTACAGAATAATATAACTTATCTGCAGTGATTTACCGGAGCACTGCTTGTTATGATTCATTATTGACGTATCTTCCTTCTGTTGACCTCCATCTATACGTTGACCACTTTTTTTTACTATTGTTGTTTGTTATACTCTTTCCCATGAAATATTTCATTGTTATTCCGAAGCATACAATTCAGATGAAACTTATTTTATATCCTATCATCACCGTAAATAAAGTAACTGTCTTCATGCCCTTCTAATAGTGGGAAGTGCATTTTGTTCTCATTTTTCTGTTTTGTTGCTGTGTAATTCTTTTCTCAATAAATAAGGTGCTTTTTTCCCTTGTTCTACTAGACATATGAAGCGTTTGTTTATAATTTGTTTGTACATGATTAAAATACATAAATCATGCTGCTCATAGTGGTGTGTGAGCTTTATTTATTTTCCTTGGGAGCACTCATATTTCCTATCTGGTATGTGTTTATCGTTTGAAATCACAAGACTATCTGGCTCCTTCGAAATGATGATACCTGTTTCTGTAAATTTTATTTCAGAAACTAACTTGATCATAATATGCAGATGACGTTAAGCAGGAATAGAAACATTACAAGGAGAAGAAAAGACGAAATACCGACGGAATCAGAAATAGAAGTAAGAGATTAAAGAGGAAATCTAGAAAAGGACCGACCCTTTTCGTTTTGCTTTCCAGTTGTAGGAAAAACAAGAGAACTACGGAAGGGTCACCGCTTGTTCCGATTCTCAATCATTTCTGCTATCTGAGTACCATGATCCCCGACATTCATCCAGGATATCTTTAGGCACCTAGCATAACTATCCTTCATCCCACGGTCCAGTATTGTACATTGACTAACTCTTCACATCCTTGAATTAGATCGAAAACGAGCGAAAAAAATTGGAAGCCGCTGGGAAAAACTTCCTAACACCAATACAAACTCACCAAGCTGGCGTTTCACGGTAAACGAATTGCATGAACACAGATCTTCATAACGCTCAAAATACCGGCTCACCGAGCAATTATAGCCACACCATGTCGTAGCCATCTGAGTTGACTAGAACTTAACAACCTCACCTCTTTTCTACTATACCCAACTGTTACCTTGGTTTGTTGGTCGGGCTGGCATATCATAACAAGCTTCTTCATTTGAAACGCTTGTTTCCTTCAGGTCCTAACGTGCCAGGAATGTCTGTTAGATAGTGGTAAACGAAAAGCAGTTATGGTGTAAATTGCTACACTATGATGCCGTTCCTAAGGCGAGTTCGTTCTGTTGGGTGGATGAGGTATATCGACAGTAAGACGTTTCCCTTTATGATCAGCAGTTTCATACTAATGCTGCCTTCCCAGTTGAAAGCGGAGGTTAGTAAAGGTCGACCTCAAAGATGGCACTTTCCTCCCTACCCCGACGGTCTTCCGGTCCTGGTGACATGGGTTTTCTTTCTTTAGCGTTAAAACAATCAAATCTCATACCAACAGCGTCAAGTGTCAACCGCCCTCATGTTACCAGTGGCACACAGACAATCGCTCTCAACCTGTCTTCCTCAACTGTTTCATTCCTTGCCTTCACCTCCTGATACCAAAATTAAGCTCCCTACAGTTCCTGCAGCCATTGGCATCGATCGAAACCTCATTCCTAGTCTCCTAAGACCCAGCCATATTCACATTCAGGTATTCAACGCTCGAACACTGAGAAGTCAGACAGCAAGGATCGCCGCCAGAACTCTGGAATGTCAGTTCCCGGATGTTTGCTGTCTCTGGGACGTGAGTGAGGTTATTCACTTGACTTCTTTTAGTCATTGTAGTGCATCATCGAAATTCACTTTACTAGTACTCATGGACTCGATGGTGTTGGCATGACATTGAGGGCAGGTTTGCTTCTTGATAGATACCAGCCAGTCTGTGCTGTTTGATTGAATGGGTCTGGAAAAAGGAGGACCAAAAGACTAGGCGATGTACTTTTGTAATCTCCGCCTACTCACCGACTGCATCCGCCGACATCAAACCATTGAGTGGAATATATTGAAGCTTAGTTCAACTAGCCTACAGCAAGCTTCATTTGCTCAGCATCCAAACCAGCATGAGATGTAGATCTTCCAGCTCTCCTTGAAGTTGAGAGGACACTTTCAAATCTGAGAGGATGCAAGGGACTTGTCATCATCTATCAACATAGGACCATGCATTGCTGCGAAACTATCCGAGTTACCTCATCTCGTATCACTACATCAAGTAATAAAGCAGTGAAACGGGAGATGAAGAAGAGAAAATTCAGTCAAAAGTAATAAAGGAGAGGAACGAAGAATGAGAAAATGTTGAGCTTCGATATGGACTTAGGGTTAGGATAATGCGTGTATATATCTGCGCCACTAACATCGGTTCTGAGCCAAGCTTCTTCTGGATGAGTGACAGTCTTGTTTCGATATCTACCTGGCCTACTTCTCACAGAAAGCAGTTTTGGTGTTATTGATGCCGAGCTGAACTTGCAGTGGTTTTGTTGCCAAATCTTTTCTACGTCCATTGAGATGCACGGACGTGTGGTTGCTATATAAGCACGTACTCCAGAAGAAGCGGCAGTGATGATATAAAAATGTGGTCCATCGCTGAATTGAGCTCGGTGGACGCTACATCAGACAGTGTCTTTCTTTATATGTGAAATTTTTGCTGGCTAAAAATAAGCGGTTATCTGAGCACAGTTGTAGTAGGCGATCACCGTTAGCTGTACGTTCAGCCGGAGTTCCGATAGTGCCGCCTAAGTGCCTTTCTGCCTCAGTCTACTCACCTGTGCGTTGAAGTCACTGCAACAACTACCACGTCCGAACGTTTGGCTTCGAGAGGAGGCTAGACAGTTTACGGTAGAACTCGTCCTTCACTTTATCCGAACTACAGTCAGTGGGTGTGTGAGCACAGATTACAAAGAGACAGCGGCGACATAAATCGAGAGCTACTTTGAATAAAATTTTATACATTATTACTGGAATATCTGTTTCTTGTAACTGTAATGATTCCAGCAATAATGAGTGGTCGAAGTTTGCAAGTTTCTTGCACTTTCGAACGATATATCGAAATCTTATATAGTCAGTAAACATCTTAGTTAAATATACGCAATGCAATATAGCATTCATTCATAAATCTGCATCGCTTGAAAATCAAGCAGCCCTCATGGTGAAAGGATCAATCTTCTTGCTAATTATAATCTCACGAGTAAAAGGAGTTCACGGTCTCCACTGTATTACCCTATAAGGAGGTACCTCAGAAATTTTACGCAGAATCCTCAACAGAGCTGGAATTAGGGTGGCATTTAAACCAACAAAGAGATAAACTTTGTCGGCTTAAAGATCCGATAGAACCAATTAAGCAAAATAATGTAATCTATCAAATACCATGTAATGACTGTGAGGTCAAGTATATAGGTCAAACTAGTCAGTCGAGGTCAGTTAGAATAGCCGAACATAGGAATTCAGCTAAATATAGAATAACAGACCTAAATAAGGTCAATAATCTTGAAAAAAAACTCGGCTATTGCTATGCATGCATTAACACACAATACGGTGGGAAAAAGCCACTGTCCAATATAATTAGGTGGAGAGGGAGATTGATTACTGAATCTTTGTTCATCGAATCAACACTCAACACATGTAATAAAGATGACGCAACACCTATATACCAGAGATATGGAAAATTTTGCTACTAATAAAAACAACTCATATATAAGGTGACATAACTATAAAAATAAAATGTCGAAAAGTAGTGTAATTACATTGATATGATTATGAGCAATAATTTATGCTCGAAACGTCACCAAGTAAATAATACTAGATCACAGTGTGTTATAAATCAAATAAACAAATCTAATATAGAATTAATTTTTACCACAGTGCCCAAGTTTTACACCCATTATATATATGGCTCCAAATGAATTGAGAAAAGCAACTAGCACAGCTAACTGACTTATACTTGAAAAGTCATTCCCACTAGAACATAAACAGGTATACAAATGAGAACACAAACGCCTATTAAAAAACGCATTACTTTTTCAAAAACACAAAATGCGGTAAATTTGTAGAAAATGCAACATGTAAACAAGTTCATAACAAAAAGAGGAACAGAACAAACAATACACATATTATCGTTATAAATAGTTTTCCATACATAGTCTGATAATATCCATGGAGAAGTGTGAAACACGGCAAGATATTAACATACAATACAAAAAAACATCACTAACTGCCTATTAAGAAAAAAAATGTCTAGAATAGGTGATCATTCAACATAGTGAGAAAAACGTAGAGAAACACAGTTTGGTATTTGCTGAAAGAAAACTGAACAAAATTTTGCTGAACAGAAATGCTCAATTGGAGAACTCAAATGAGGAGTCATCCGAAACCGCCTTCTTGGGTCTAAAAATGTAAGTGAAATAATAACAAGCAAAGTCAGAAAAATAGACTAAGCTAGATAGTTAAATCGAGAAATACCGAATTGTATGTACGCAAACATTTTTACAAAAAGCGATCATTATTTAACCAAGTAATTTCTGTCCATGACACATAACACCTTGAAATCGGTCAATCCCAACAAAATCAATGTCTATCGTGATATGCATCGAGATAGATCTCCCAAAATTCTTAAGAAAAGACGTGACCTGCTGGGTCAACTAAGTCGGGTATGAGAACAAGAAAGCGATGATGGCAGTGCATGATAGTTATTATAAATCATGAATTAACAAAAGTAGGAAAATGTGAACTACTGAATTCCGACACACTGGCTGAAAGGTAAGGTGGCTAGCCACGAGGACTAAAGGTCCTCAGTCATCGGTGGACACTGTTGAAGAGTCTCGCACTAGAGATAAAAAACTGTCTAGTGTTCTCAGGTTTTCGATGCTTCTCTAACTGATGCCAATTAGAGATGAACATAACCTTTAATCTTGTCAATCCCCACTAGGCTCCAAACTAACTGAATCAAGATTAAATCAGCTTCGAGCATGAAGTGGATTTCACATAATCCGTATAAAAATTTTGGCAGTATTGTCACTCCATGATAAGATGAATGAAAATAAAACAACTTCAACGCACAACAACGTACGTCACCCATCCTACAAACTACTGACCATTAATTCTACTTGCAGTTCAGCAATTATAATCTTGCAATCGCAGACACTGCTTTGAGCACTCAGTTTTCAAGCGATGGGTCCCGAGCTTAAAGTTAAGTCCAAGCAACCTGGCAGTGTCGTAAGTCCTTAGATAATATGCGCCTCAAGTTGTACCGGGTTGAGCTATCTTATTATGCTTATTTTCCAACATAATTAATCGAAAATAAGCGGGTTAGTGAAGTAATCATCTGTAAAAAAACCCTAGGAGATTTGCTGTGGCAATTTCAAATGTGACATGGTACGTACAAGCTTTAACCAAAGTACCAACTCATACAAGGATTGGTAGATACAGCTGTGTCAGGTATTTAGTCTATTTCAGTCCAAACGGTGTTAGACTGATTCTACTCAATTGGTAATCGAGCAGCCAGAGTATCTAAGATCATTTTTGAGGTTTACTGCAAATCATACACAAACTCCCAGAAATAACTTGGAAGTAACCAAGAGAAAAGGCACGAGCTGGGATTAAAAACACTGGATCCAAAATTACGACGAACAGACAGTTATGTGTCACGGATTCACATGACAACCGTGGAAAAACTCGGTGACTAGAGTAAGGTCAGAACCTGGTCGGCAGTCGGTCCTCATAGCTCATTTGGCATGGCATTGGGCCGGTAACCCAGGAGCCACTGGTTCGAATCCTGCCGAGACCAAAATTTTAATTTCACCTTCAATCATAAATAAAACCGTAAGAACAGGGAAAGAAATCTTATTAAACCAACTTTCCTTACTTTTTCTTAGTATTCTTTTCTGGTTCAAAATCACTATCATCATCAAGATGTCGCCTGCGTGGTCCACCTTTTGATCTCTGCTTCGTATCACTATTATCTGAACTGGTGTCTTCATCCTCGTCTTCATCATCATCAAAAACATACTGAATACGGTCTGTCACTGCGCGCCTGGGTTTTGTTCGGGACTCTTTTTGAGTTGCTGCTGATTAAAGGAAGAACAAACTGTCAAATAGCCATCACAACTAACAGATAAAATGCCAGGTATTAGAAAACTCCAGAGAACTATAAGCGAAGCTAGTAATAAAAAGTAGGTTAAGTGTAAATCCACAGAAGCACTTCGATAAATGCAGGAATAATTGTTAATAGGGTATAAGAAAATGAAAATGATCATAAGCCACACAACTGATGACAGCTTCACGGTAACGCAACTTCGCTACTGCTGGATACTATCGTTCAGTCTGATAGCTTTATCGATTGGGATGACATTCTGAATATTGTACAATCAAAGAGGCAGATTTCACGGCAGGAAATAAGCTATCATTCTCTGCTTTCTACACAAAAAGGTAAACTGAAAACGCATAGTGCATGCATAAAGTGAAAAATAGCAGTTACGATGACGACTAATTTTCCTATGAAAAGCCATGTTTTTGCAATTCATAACTCTACTTTGCTCATTGTACAAAGGAATAAGCTGAAGACATGATAGTTTGGAACATGGATTTTAACTGACTTAAACAACTACCAAAGACTGTCATCTCATGTTTCTTCAAAATCATAAGATACATGATAGTTCATTGGTGACAGACGGACAAAATCAATGCAGAACCTTGCACACAAGTGCATCCATTCAAGTTGCCATATTTCACATGGTATACAAAGAACAGCTGGATAGAACGAGTCATATCAAAGTAGACAAAGTTGAGTGAGAGAATAAACAATCTGAAGATAAAGGTCAATGCAAATATTCAAGCTTTACAAAATCTCAGAGTGAGTACATCTATACCACTGTGACCGATTTTCACCCATTTCACCGAGAATTCCCAACCACTGATTCCTATTACCTTGCAGACTCCAGTCAGGTAGTCTGCATCTCCCAATAAGACTCAGACAAACAATCAGGGACTTCATCAACTGGTGCACCGTCACAGTCTGGACACCCTGAATCCCCTTTCAACCTAATCCGACTTCCTCTAGCATGACAGTGGGTCGACATGCGCAGTGACATATTCAAGCCATCTCAGTTGATGAAGGCTAACAACCCCATCAATCGACTTGTCTATCTTGCCTACCACCCTTCGCTTGACCTCAACATTGCTCATACTGTGATTCTACCAAATGCTGTGTATTCGTGAATCAAACGGTTACAGGAGAACAGAGTAAGGCAAACAGAAACCGTTTTCATCGGTATGAAAAGTATTCTCTTTTTAGTTAAACAAAAGAGATGACAATTTAATTACCTTTAAGGTTGTCCGAGTCCTCATCTGTGTCCTCTTTTAAAGCGTTTTTCTTCGTTTTCGTCTTAACAGCAGCAAACATTGACTGAATAGTAGGTTGTGAAGTAGATGGAGCTGAGATCTGACGACGTTTACCACCACGACCTCTAACACCTGATGCAATAGCAGAAGCTCCACGGGATAATCCAGAACTACGGTTGAACGAAAAAAGAATGCAAGTAACTATCGAAAATGTTCTTAAAGTGCCTTTGAAATATACGCAATATGATATGGTATCGATGGGAATCTTTCATGAATAATACACTACAGAACTATATAGAGATGAAAAGCATTGATGAGTGAATTTGATACTCTACGAATGAAATCTGGGCTATTTTAGTAGTCATTAAATATGCAGTAGTGAGCAGTAGCCTAAGGTAAAAGGCTGGTTGCAAATACGCCGTTGAAAACCCTTTCCTACCTAATATATGTACGCATATATGTTTCACCTTCCTTCTTATCCACAACACACAACTTTATAGGAAAGAAAGTGGTTGTAATGAAAAAAGTTCCACGTACTACACTTAAAACGTAAATAAAACATTACACTCATCACTTACGCAGTTTTTGGAGATCCACTCTTACCACCACCTGATGGGGCTACCACCTTGGTTCCTGGAGAGTTTGAAACTATGGGAATTTCAATCTCTTTATCGCCTTGTCCATGATCAACGACTTTAAAATTTTCTTCCGAATTATTTTCCTCACTACTATCGTCGTCAAAAACATATTTTGCATTAGCTCTCTCACGCCGTGCACGATTTAAAGGAAGTGCATCTAGAAGAAATGTACAGATGAGAGTAGTTATTAGGAAGGTAGGAAAATATGCATGTTACAATGCATATAAAGACAAATGAAAAATACATATAGATCTGTATAGACGTTTATGTTAAATCCATCCACAAATAAACAACATCTCTCACCTGTGTGAACGTTAACGAAAGTACACGATTGCCAAGATGAAGGTATGAACAAGACAAGAGCGAGGTTCAAATTTATTATTGAGACAAAATCCATGAGGGTCGAAATTAAATGTGGTTTTGAATAATGGTTGAAAAATGAATACACATAACATGGAGTAGCCGTAAATCGACACAATAAATTTAGACTTAGATATTGAATGCTATTTAGTTGCTTGACCCAAATATGTACTAAAATGTGGTATTTTCGGAATTAATTGAGGTCACTTCAATTTAGTGTAGCTAGAAAACAGCTTGCCGTTTACGCACCAATATTCCAAAACTAACATTCTTAAAAAGGGAAAAATATGAAGGGAACATAAATCGAGGAATCGAAGCATTATATGTGTGACAAACCAATCGGATCAGCAATTTAGACGTTAGGTACATATTCTTGTAACTAGGGAAATCGAAATGTAATCCAGCAACCCTGTCCACATTCGAGCAGTAGGCAATGAGCCACACCTATTGTGTGAAGGCTAGTGATATTAAATGGCTGCCCAAACCACGGTAGGATGGAGCGGTGGTCGAACCCGTGACCTAATGGTTGAAAGTCATCTCCCTAAAACAATGAGGCACAGCACCTGTAACTAGGAATTTAAGTCAAACCAAACAATAAAGAAACAATATTGTCCGAGATAGTGTGACAGTATCCTATGTGAGCAGAGCTTTTAGTCTTTCCTAAAATGTGATGATAATTATGATAGTCAACCTGAAACAGAGACAGTGAACAGCCGAACCATCGCACTATATCATGAGGCTAATGAGCCTAGTGAAGGAGCATAAACTGTAAGACCCTGAAGGTACTACAAAGTAATAGTTAGACCATCAAGTACTAATTAGGGTAAAAATCGGTCGAAATGGAACGGGTGCACTAACTTCACATTTCTTTTAAAGCTCAAACATCTCATCACTCTATATCTATTCTTCCTTTTCCACCATTGTTCAACTTGTGAATAAGATATTGATCTCTAATTGAAAGAAATAGAATATCTGGCTTACAAACCGTAAATGGAAAAGTATATCTAGTGTGAAAATATAAATAAACTGACCGGAGTTAGATAAGACATCAACGTCACTAACGACAGAAGCTTGACTTGCTGAGGCCTCACTGTCAGTGTCAGATTCCCATGGCATGCGATTACCACGTTGACGCTTGCCACCAACACATTTACGTTTCGTCTCACCATTATCTAAAAGAAAAATGCACAGATTTTGGAAATACGATTCAAGTTATTGAAAGAGAAAAATCAAAACGGAGTCCACAAACCACGTTCACACTACTACAGTGGACGATGAGACACTGGTTACATGAAGGCTATCTGTCCATCAAAAACCCAGGGGGGATGCAATTAGAACGTAAGGCCTACTAGTTGAAAGTTCTGTTTAGATCAGTCGATGCACAGCTTCTTCAGTAACCAAACAATTGTTTGCTTACTACATGTAGAAAGTACTGATAAAACGAATTAGTCCAGCTAAGAAAAAGATGATGAGTGTAAATGTTGTCCGAAATAGGAGCATGGGATTCACATTCATGAAGAGAAACCAGTAACCTGATTACTTAGTGAACAGTAACCCTCACACCAAACCGAACAGGTTAAGAAGATACAGTGCGGGTATTGTATTAGATAAGTATCCAAGCTTACGACAGAACCATTGCTCAATTTAAAACTTACTGAGATACATGCTGCTTTTAACAAAAGAGTAATTACCTGCATTAGATGCTTTTGGAGGCATCGTGCGACTCGTCGTAGTAGCTCTGCCTTTACCACGTCCACGCCCACGTACGGTAGACGCCTTTTGTGAATCTGTTTTTTCGGACATACCAATGCGTTGAAGAAGTTCGGGTTCTTCATTGATATCAATGCCCTCAAAATTGTCCATTTCGTTACCTTCAAACAAACAAAAAAAACCCCAGTATGTGCATCAAATATTTAGGAGAATCCCTGAAGTCAACAACAATGGCGTGGTAGATTCGTAAAAAACATAAGCTCTGTGGTTCTTTACAAAATATTCTGTAGATAACAAACTTTTGACCTTAAAGCCAGCAGTTCTACTTGCACAAGAATGAGGTGAGTAATTTGCGCTGCGTAGAACATTCGCATATATGAAAATGTATTTGACGTCCTAACATCAGAATATAACTTAACAAACTAATTGATAACTGGTTTCTGATGTTAACGCATTGAAAATTCATGACATAAATGAATTTGCAGTGATTGCACACTGAAACAAAACCCACCTTCATTTAAAATATTGTCCGCCTTAGTTCGTTTCTTCTTATTTCCCTCCACTTTCTTCATTAGGTCTGCATCTACTGTCGGAACTATTCGCCTGCCCATTGGATCTGGTCTTGTTTCTTGAGCCAACTTACGGGACTTTGTAGCTTCAACACGTCCAGCTGCCGTTGTAGATGCCACTTTCAACTTTTTCTCCACTGCTTCAATTGCAGCACGTTCATCAGCAGCTAATTCTACTTCAGCTTTCTAAATGGAAATCGACATATACTACATTTAAAGATTGAAAACTGGTGGACAAAAAACGAAAAGCAGTACACACGCAAATTTTCGAACAAAATTCATAAAATACTAGGATATTTGTTCTAAACTGTAAATTTACCTTGTATTCCTCCTGCAATTTCGCAAGATCTTCACGCCACAAATCCGAAGGAGATTTGCCCCTCAAAACACGCAAATCATTTTGCTTAGAATCTCTTTGAGCGAGTAAATCATCTTTACGTTCTTTTGTCAAACTCCATAAAGGCATATTTAAGATGTAATTGTAGTCAGGTTGACCTGATTCAACTGGTTCAATCTGAGGACCGGATTCTTCAGCTTCGTCATGCAAAGCAGCAGCTTTGTCTATGCTTGCTTTCCAGGCCTTGACCGGATCTGAATCGTAATTGGCTTCTTTCAGTATACGGATCAATTCCTTCTTTGGTTTATTTTCTATTACCATTATGGACTGGATCTTTTCAAGGACAAATCTAGCCTGGTTTTCCAGTTTCAAAGCCTCAGAAGACAACACACCTTCCAAGTAGGACTTACGTTTCTCATACCTGAATAATTTACAAAGCACGGAAAAAGTAGATGATATCTATAGAAGAAAAATCAAACTGCAACCACTTGAAAAAACTTTGGGATGGAGTAGAATAAAATGAACCCATTCACACAAGTTCAGTGCAATTCATATAATACAAGTGATTGACTATGGTGTTCATAAGATGAAACAACAAGCTGGTCAGAGATATGAAAAATCACCTTTGTTACAACAGCTGTCTTTAAATCGTCATATCATCCAACTTATTGTGCTTAATGACAAGAAACGCATCATCCACGTATTTCGACCATACTTAAAGTGTAACAGAGAGTTTCATCACTGCATTATTTCCCAGTGAAAACATGAAAAATTGGTAACTAAAGGGGATACCGTGGATCCTAACGCGTTGCCTTCTGTTTTTCTGTGTAAATCTCTAAACGTAAAAAATGTTGGTCTTAAACATAATTCTAAAGATTTTATAATCTCACTCGAACCTAGGACTATTTAGGTCAGTATCTGATACTAGAAAAGTATTTATGTCCAAATTAAAAACAGATCAAACTTGCTATTATTTCATCCTCATCAGTATAGGTTTTCATGATTCTGTTCCTGAATTTACATGAATTCTTTACGCGTTGTTTTATACCGTCTAAAGATTTTGACTAAACATTTTGAAAATTGTATGTTAGTGAGTTGGTAAAATTGACAAGTGGTAGTAATGGAATATCCACCTTGTGTATTTTCGGTAGCCCATAAAACCTGCTAAGGCTACAGCTTTTTAGTGATAGAGAGGACCAAAGTGAAGTTCTTATTTTCCCTTTCATAAATCTTAATATTTTATTGGTTTGGGCTTTGAGTCTATTCAGTGTAGTTAGTGTTTTTGTGAGGTCAATTTTCAAATAAGAACCGAGATCAAGATGTTCCCTGACCTTCCTCTGATAGTCTGTAGCGTTCGTAACCACCGTAGCATTTCCTTAGTCTGCTCTGGTTATGATGATTGTTTTATCATTATGTAGCTATTTGTTTGTCTGCGTAGTTACTTTAATTGAATAATTAGTCTTTAATTATATTCTGCAGACTCGATTTTTGATAAAATAGTGCACTAGGTATTTTATGTCGCAGATCATTCGCTGCTCCATTTGAGAAATTTCGTTAAGCCGGATCAATCGTAAGCACAGTCTCAAAAACAGACAAACGCGGCTTGCTTAGACTGAAATTAAAACCTTTCTGTTGGAGTGGTAGTTCGTACTCAGATAAATCCCGATTAGAAAGATTCATCACCACTTTATTCATATTGATATTGTTCATCTTTTGTTCACTGTGCTGGCATTTAAGGTTTGCATTTTCCTAAAGTATTCGTTCAAATTTTCTAATTTAACAGTTTTTAGATGGTTGTATGTGTGTATACGAGTTACATTTCAGACCGGTTATTATAAAATAGAAATCATGTATCATAATTATCAAAGAATGAAGAATATGTAATTGTTGTAAGTGTATGGTGCAAAATATACTTTATTTTTTTGTTTCTTCTTCGCTTTTTGAATGCCGCAGAAACAAGACATATAGGCTTACGTCATCATACCTATAAATGCACAATGAATGACCAATAATCACGTTGGAAAACAATCATAATACAGACACGATTAGACAATGAGATGAACTATACGATTTTTGACCCGTTATATATACACGACAGTATAGATTTCAATTATTTCCCTGAAGCTGGCATTAGACTTTAAAATTTCTTATTTCAAATACGCTGAGAATTGTACAAATATAACTTATATCTAATGTCAACTTTTCGCTCGGTGCCGAATATTTGTGAAACTGTCCAGTCAAGTGTTGACTGATATTCATATAAACAAAGTAGCCTTCCTACTTACGCAGACATCATAATACGAATGCATGTACAAACAGTCGATGTAATAGTTTCCACAGGAATAGCTAAACCGATAAATATAACAGCCTAGGCAATCGATCTTTCATTTTCGGTACCAAAGTTGGGTGTATGGAAAACAATTTGTAGTTTTCCAGCATTAGTTCTTTGAACTGTTCTGCTTAGTTTATGGACATGCCGCTAGGCACATCATCTCTTAAGTGCACCTTCATGCATAATAGTTTCTGGTTGAGAGACGAAATCAAGTTGCCACACTTCACAATAGCGAGTAATGTCAAAGTATGGAAAGAAAAACAAATGGAAAACCAAGATTAGTGGGAATGTTCAGGCTCTAGAAGACGTCAAAGGGTGAATGCAGCCACCATATGTCACCAAGAATCTACAAACACTGATTACTATTATTTTGAGGACCCCAAACAGATAGACTACATCTTTCCACATGGCTCAGACCAACAACCAGAGACTTCATGGACTAGATCACCCTAAACCTCCTTCAAACCCAACCCTATGTGGGTTAACATCATACGTCAAGGTGGACCGTGACTCGGTATGTCTAACCTCAGTTGATGAAAGCTTACAACGTTGTCGACTGCCTTGCTTTTATTTTCTAGCACCCTTCATCTAACCTCGACATTTCTCATACGGTGGTTCCGATTCTGCAAAGACACCTGTGTTCGAAAACCGATAGTCGCTTTATATCATCTGCTTTCATCGGCCCTATCCCATAGCCATATTACAGGACAGAGTGGACTGTAGCCTGCACCTGGCTAAAAGAAAGTGAAGATATTTTGTGGGCTTGTGAGACAGCGATTCCAATAATTCTCAATAATCTACTCGTGTTCTCGGAGACGTCCTTCATATGCGGTAGGACAATTCATTTATTGGTTTTCGAGGTTGACGATGAATTATGTAAACATCTTTTGATGAATTTAAGTGGATAGCCGCTCTTCTGGAGAACAGTTATTAAATAGTTTTATTCTTTAATCCGCTAGGATGCTGTACTACAGTGCATCTTTCCTCTTTTGAACAATGTTTTTATACAACTGATTTTGTGTGCTGTCGTAACACATAACTGCATTGTTCAAGTTTGGTGGAATTATCTGACTTATGCCTTACAACGTATTTCCAATTTGATGGCAAACTCTACAAACACGCAAAGGGAACATCATTAAGATCGCCTATATCACCACTAATTACAGACACAGTAATGCAAAGATTGGAAACAAAATATCTTCACTTTCTTTTAACCAGGCCCAAAGATACAATAGCAACGGAAGACAAATCAAACATCTAAAATATAAACTACAGAAACTGCGGGAAACACTATATTGGACAGAGTGGTCGCCCTCATCATATCCGTCCGCATGAACACCAACTAGCAGTGAAGCGTCATGACGTAGCTTTGCTCATCAATGCAATACTAATAAACATCAAGGTCAAAGGTTACATCAGCAGGACAACCAATCAAACAAATGTGGGGACAAGGATAAGATAGTGGCAGAAACAAGGTCATTAGGACAAGATACTAAATAAATTGTGGGGAAAACCGATTGGACGGTCTAAATCGAAATCAGCTTTCAAGGTTATCAGTAGCCAGCATGAACGTTTTGGATTCTAACCTTGATGTGTTGTGGGTGTGAAAAACTTACTGTACAATTTTGTGCTTCAGCTGACCAATGAAAATAAGCATCCAATTCGTACATAAATGTTTCTTGTTAGGTGAATATAACTTACAACTTAAAACCAATGAGTTTCACAACAGCGACTTACCAAGTAAGACGTAATTCGAAGAATTCGCGCATGATGGCCATCTCATTGGGATAGCACTTCAAACATCCCAATGGATCGAAGCATACCATCGAACTAGTACTCATAACTGTTTGAAGTTTGAAGAATTTATGAAGTCCACTGGCTTCTGCTTCACGCAGCTTTTCTGGTGACATTTTAACAACGAATCGGACAGTAACATCTGTATGGTATTCCTTATAGTCTCTAAAATGAGAGAAATGAGCTTGCTGAATAATTTAACCTTTGGGAATCACTAAGTTATCAATTTAAATTTGAAAGGAAGCGTTGAACGTACGTGATACATGCAGGAACTTTTTCTGATCCATTCAGCATTGGCTCTAGAACGCTCTCCTTGTAATTCTGTGTCCAAGTTCTGATAGGCAGTTCAGTGATTTCCACGGTATCGTCATCCAAGACAGCGATTTCTCCATAGCACACATAACGATTACTTCCCAGATCCTAAAAATGATTAATTATTTGACAACATGTAACAATGGATACCGAAAACAACTGTACAATCATATTATTAATACTAATACATAATAATAATAATCATAAAGCAAACGCTGTTTTTTGTGTTAAACATTAACATTACCTCAATGGTACCAGTAAAACCACGGAAGTTGGGTAGCATACGCTGTGGTTCCTCACCATCCAACATGAGATACAGATTACTAACTATCTCCAACACATTGTAGTTGAGAATGTGCGTTGCATAACCAGTTCCAATACCATCCGCTCCATTAACAAGTACCATGGGAATTATAGGAGCATACCATTCTGGTTCAATACGCTGATTATCATCGTATAAATAATTTAAAAGAGGATCATCATCCAAATGAAAGATCAGTCGTGTGAGTGGATTCAGTGAAGTGAAGATATAACGAGGAGATGCGGCATCTTTACCACCACTGAGTCTTGTACCAAACTGACCGATCGGTTGAATCACGTTTAAATTATTGGATCCTAAACAAGTATTTATGAAAGTAATAAAGAAACAAGTTTTAGGATAACTGACACTAAAATTAATGTGGTGACACTTGAGGACACAACGACATCAGTTTTTAGTAACAATCAACAGCAAACGTTAATATACTTATACTGGGTGATGATTGAAGGTGAAGTGAAAATTTGGACCACGACCGGATTCAAACCAGCGATCACCGGGTTTCCAACGCGATGCTCTACCAACTGGACCTGATATATATATATATATATATATATATATATATATATATATATATATATATACTCAGGGTACTTCATCTGAAATAACACGACTATTTATGTCAGCACTTAAAGTAACTAAGCAGCAGTTCAACTAACCACATTAATAAGTAAAAAGAAATCTAGTAAAAAAAACTGCTATACTTCATGTAGAGCGACTCTGAAGACCAATACGACTTACCGACAAAGTTTTGGGCCAAACCAATGATGGTACTCATGAGGGATTGTTCTCCGTGGTGGTAGGCCGAAAGCTCAGCAACAGAACCAGCAAGTTGAGCAACTTTAATTTCTTTCACAAGATTTCGTTTCAAACAAGTATACAGTACCTAAAGGATAGACGTAATCACTTTACCACAAACTGGAAATACCCAATAAAGTATTTATAGATTTCAGTAATAAGTTATTAATGGAATTTGTGATTACATCATGATGGAGTTTACTACACCACATTTGTTGACTTGGTGGTTGAAGCTATGATCCCTTATCAAATATTAACACGTGAAGATGTTTTAACGTCGCTAATAACTTTGTCACTGCTCAAGGATGGATGCATTTCCTTACCAAATCCAGCGAAAATAATTAAAATAGGTCATTCACAAAAATATGATAAACGAAGATAAGTTCGTAATATAACTGCGGTAGTTAAAAAGATCCAAGAACTAACTTTTCGTTGCCCAGGTTTCAACCCATCTACAACAGATGGAATGCTCCGTTCATTGTCCAAATTAGAGAATAATACCAACTCCTTGTGAACAAAATCATGGTAAGTAATAGCTCGAGTATCTTTCCCATACAGATACGGCTCAGGAAGACCAAACTCACGCCGACGTTTACGTTCTTCTGTGAAGTTGGTCAACCAATTTTTACGATCAGCGATTTTACTTTTATCAAAAGCCAACTGAATACTTCCATCATCCTCGTTTCCGCTGTAACGAAATCGAATTCTATGACGATTCATGTCAGAAAAGTACTCCTTAGCTTCTTTGCTTGTTGAAGTACCCAAACCTAGTGAACGAATATGAACCGAAACAAATTATTGTAAATAAAGTAAAACAATTTCGCAAAGCCTGTCATTCTTGAGTTCCCAAGATTAGTAGCATACACTGATAACGGTTACATGCATAGAATGTAGTGCGGCTAACAGTACACGTCTGTAGGAAGAGATACCATTGTAGTTTCATGAATTTCCCAGAATGTAGTTTGTCACCGATCAAAACCTGCTGCAACTTACAGAAGTAGAAAGGAAAAATAAATAAAAAAGGAAAGATTAAAGAGGAAAAGTTACCAAGCTCCAGCAACTATCCAGTTTTTTCAGAGGATGTCGTCCTGATGATCTCAACTCCTCAAATCAAAAGTGGTTTAGAACTCAATATATCAAAGATGCGGTAGCTTTACCTATTCTGAGATATTTGACTGTTTTCCGGCCTGGACTACGCACCAATTCAGTATCAATGTGGGATGTGGCACTGTTGTGTACTGGTTCGAGTTGCCACACCTCATGTCAGCTCACTAAGACATCTCACAAACACTAAGAGCAGGTGTGTAGAAGAAAGATGATAGGAGCAAGAAATTTCGAAGCTCAATATATGCACAGAGCTGTACAGAAAACAGCATTGAAATGAAGTGAGTGATACACACTAATTCACGTTAAATAAATCACCAGTAGATTATAACAAAACTTGCTTACAGGAGTCGAATACTCGTCTGATAGACGCAATAAACGGAGGATAAATTTACGGTTGCCATCTACAAGTTGTATGCACTTGTGCTGCACGAGATTTCATAAAGGTCCTTACGAAGTAGCACAAAGTGTGTATTGCAATTTTTATCTAGTACAACTCAACAATAGACTAGTAATACATGAAATGTTTTTTAAATAACCTGGGAACTGTTCCTGGTTTACGGAGTATGAACGATATCCAATACAATACAATAGAACAAGCCGAATAGGACTTGCCTTTGTAGTATTTTACACGCCAGGTATGCCAGTTTGCAGTTGATTTTTGCCATTCCTCAAACTCCGGTAAACTGTAGAAAGCGTATTCTTGTTTTCCTTTAAACACCTTCACAATTGGAGTAATAAACTCTTCTACTACATTGTGTTTTAGCAAATTCGGCCAGTTACAATGAACGAAATTGATGATTAAGCCTTTGATATGCGAGCCATCTTGATCCTGATCAGTCATGATCATAATCCTTAAGGTGAAAAGTGATTGATATAAAATGATTGAGTAGTGATCACTTCAAATGTTACATACGACATTTCTATCCAACTTAAAATTGCACATCAGTTGCTCTGGAGTGGTAGGATATCCATAATTATGAATACGTTAGGAGGGAAATATTAAGATCTTTGAATCATATGTCAGACAAACTGCCCCAGCATACGTCAAGCAACTGAAAAATAATGCCATATGTAACCATATCAAGATAACTTGCAGACACCATCGTCAGAAAGTAAGGAGAAGATTCATCTAACAATCTACGAGAATCGCTCAGCCATATGTTATGCAGTTCGACGAAAGATAATCACTACGAGAGGAATCTTATGCAAGAACCTGAGTAACCCCGTTTTCAGTCAGTGAAAGTTGATCAGTCTAGCATGTTTATCCCCTATTATTTTGGCAACCATGAGGGTAATGGAAAACACAAACACGAAATCCTAAGGGGTCGAATTTAAGGAACAGTCCTTATTTTTAATCAACCGACTGTTTTCTCATATTTCTTTAACTACTAACTTGGTTCTGATAACGAAGTACCACATGCTATGGGTTGGCACGTAAGGAAAGTTTTTTTGTCAAAGTTTTTTTGAATACACACGACGTGTTAGATGTGCGCTATCTTTAGTGACAAAGCTTAGAGCTGATCGCAACACCCAGTCATTTACTGAATTCTTCTAAAAACCCTTATATGTTATCTTCTTTTTCACCTTAGTATCTTTGAATCCCTACCTACTTTCGGTGTGCTGTTGCAACTGAGAAGCTTGAGTCGATGCATTTTTGTGCTACGCCCTACATTGGTTGGTTAAGATGTTTATCTAATTCCAGAAAATATCAAAAACAGCTAAGTGCTGGATGTTATTACAAGGTAGGAACTATGACCGATTGAGCACAAACATAGACAATATGGAGACCAATCGTGAGGGCTGAAGAACCATGTACGAAGATAAGTGATTATTAGTTTTTATAATCTGTAGGTCTAACCGTGACGGTACTGAATGAAGAATCCTTAGATATTTCAGACTACAAGGAACTTTCTGAACAAGAAGGTTAATTAACCGCTACTTAATTTGACCATCAACAGAACGGTAGACAGATAAACACACCAAGCGAGTTGCGTCGGTTGTGAGACGAATAATGGCCTAGTTGCCTAAAATAAAGTACGTAAGGTATATTTTAAACCCAAACCAATCGGCTACAATCACAAATTTTAGTGCTATCTACAACTGTTACTGAAAAGACTACTGATAAAATCATATGGTGTAATAAAACAATTACTACTTGAACATATAGTACGAAAATGAAGTCATATCGCTCAACAAAACTTACTTTCCGTAGCGTAATTCTCTAAGTGTATCTGGAGTTTCATATTTCAGTTTGTACTGCAGCCCAAGAATCTTAATTAATGAGTTAATTTCTGCATTTTCCATTATCTGTTTACTGGATGCCTCGCGCACATTTAGCAGTTTGCCCCGCAATGGAAAAACACCATAATTATCCCTACCAACAACTCCAAGACCAGCCACAGCCAAAGTTTTGGCTGAATCGCCTTCAGTTAAAATAAGGGTACACTGAGATGAGTTTTTAGTACCCGCATTATTAGCATCGTCCAACTTGGGGATTCCTTGAGCTTAGAATGCTTCGATTTGTGACACTGCTTATCCATTTTTTCCATTGCTTTAAATTTTATCCAAGAAAGAACGTTCTCCACTATACCAGACTTTGAAGCCTATGGCAAAAATAAAATGTAAGTCAGAGGGTTTACAAGTTGATCACACAATAAAAACTTGAGTAGAATAACAAAAATATTACAAAGTACGAAAACTACTCTTTCCGAATAAACGCATGCGTTTCAGGCAACAAAGTATGATGACATTTCATCTCAACCAACCGATTTTACTGGTTTCCCCTTTTGATACCACAGTAAGTTGCAGTAAACAACATATTTTCAGAAGATATTAAGTCCCACTTAGATATATCCCAGCATCAATTAGAGAGAATGCACGCAATTAGTAAAGATAATCGATTTCCACATCTTAACTACAGATCACAGTCATCTACCATGTCAGGTTGTTCGATTTACCAGTGAAAAACAATCAATATAGGGTAAATCCAATTCCAAATTTTGATCTCACCTCCACAATAACCGATGTTCAAACAAGTATGCCAACTAGTACACCATCAATAATACTCCACAAATAGCTTGAGTGACTGGTCTAAGATCACAACGCATGGTTACCAGATGACAAACGCTACGAATTCAGGCTGAATATGTAGGAAAATTATGAAAAGTACTAGTGTTTATTAAATTGTAATCAACGAAATGAATGCAACCCCAGAAATAAAAACCAAAATGACCACTGACTGTTGCCTTTTGGTGGTACTCCACTTTGAGTTTATGACACCAAAAATAATTCACTCAAAAGGGAACAAAAGTCAGATTCTCAACAAGTAATTGCAACACAACAATCATTGCTAAAATTACAGACATTTTCCACAAGTGTTATCATTTAAACGTGCCGAAAGCTTTTCTAAGAATCTTGGCATCCGAAGGACTTCCATTACGCAGCATTTTGCACAACTTAGTAAGCCTAATTAACTTCAAAAATGAGTTGCAATGTTCAAACTTTGGTCATCAGAACAAAGAGTTCACTACCATAGGTATACATTCTACAAGAAAAATTAACGAGTACCGTCATACCATTGCTTCAGAAATTCTCTTATATGCTTTGCAACATCTCGAGATATGAGCTGCTCAGAAAAAAATATGCAAGAGATGGATGAATAAGTCCTACCTGTCCAATGAACTTCTCACTCAGAGTACACGTAGATCCAAAACTTTTTATGTTCAACGTCATATTTTCCTTGGTTTGAGAATCGAATGTTGGGTTTTCTATCAGACAATTAACAAACAACCACATGTGGTTTTTTATTTGGAATGGTTTAATTTGAACACCAGATTTTCCGGACTTCTTTTTCACAATTTCCATTAACTTGGTCACAATTTGATCACTGACATAAGAAATATGCGTCCCACCCTTAGTCGTTGCAATACTGTTAACAAAACTGACTTGCTGAAAACCAGTGTTGCTGACAGCTGCCGCAACTTGCCATCGTGGATTGGCCGATTCATATACAACCTGTTAAAAGATATGAGAAAACTAACAATATTCAAACTCATTTCCTAGAGTTTAGGCAGAACTACCTGGAAATATTAAACACAGGTCAATGAGCCACAACCCTAGAAAACACATGTAAGCAGAATGACGAAATAAACCAAGCTGCCTCCAAATTCATGTTCAACAGGTTATACAGATAAAACCAACGAGAACCTCCCTTCAAGTCGCCATATTTCACATGGTATACAAAGAACAGCTGGATAGAACGAGTCATATCAAAGTAGACAAAGTTGCGTGAGAGAATAAACAATCTGAAGATAAAGGTCAATGCAAATATTCAAGCTTTACAAAATCTCAGAGTGAGTACATCTATACCACTGTGACCGATTTCACCCATTTCACCGAGAATTCCCAACCACTGATTCCTATTACCTTGCAGACTCCAGTCAGGTAGTCTGCATCTCCCAATAAGACTCAGACAAACAATCAGGGACTTCATCAACTGGTGCACCGTCACAGTCTGGACACCCTGAATCCCCTTTCAACCTAATCCGACTTCCTCTAGCATGACAGTGGGTCGACATGCGCAGTACATATTCAAGCCATCTCAGTTGATGAAGGCTAACAACCCCATCAATCGACTTGTCTATCTTGCCTACTACCCTTCGCTTAACCTCAACATTGCTCACACCGTGATCTCACCGAACCCAACCAATGCTACGAAGACACCCATGATCAAAACCATGTAACCGTTTTATATTTTCTGCTCTTAGCGGCCACGTCTCACAGCTGTATAACAGCAGCCACAGCGCAGTATACTCGTCCTTTGACACAGTTGGATATCTCGCTCGCTCCAGAGATGACCCAAGTTGGCAAATGCCAAATAGATCTTTTGTGTCCACGTTTAGATCCTGTTAGCAACCAATGCGTTTGGTCTGATGCAGTGGTCAACATACCCCACCACTTCAGTCTCTGTCATTAGAGTATATGCACACTAATCCTAGGGCATTATCATACATTTGACAGGTGCGAAAGGCACGCCAAACATAATCAGATTTCTGCTGAACGAGTTCACAAGACCCTGAATTTTCTCAGAGTCTAAACCCAACAGGACGTCTAAATACTCCAAGTTCACCAGATGACCTCCATAAAGTAGGTCAATCCCTAAGAAGTCAAGAGTTCCTAAGGTTCAGCCCATTAGTACACCTATTATAAGATTAAATATGAACGCTGACAGTGGGTATCACTGGTGGATGCCAATAGTTACCGTCAATTCACATGACAACTCTCGATAACACCATATACAGCTGTGTGAGTTCGAGAAGAGGGCTTCGATCAGCGTTATATGCTTTCTCGGTACTCCCTTCACCTTCACAGTCAGACACCACACATAACGCCTCACGATCGACAGAGTCAAATGCCATCTTCAGGTCAAGAAACGTGGAAAGAATCGGCCGCCGGTAAGTATGCCTGTGTTCCAGAACATGTCGCGAAGTGAAGATGCGGTCGATGCACCCTCATGCAAGTTTGATACCTTCATGAACCTTTCGAGTTCATTATTTTAGAGCCCCAGTTAGGCGTCGTATAACTATGGATCCCAAGATCATAGGCACAATATTAGTCAAACCAATTCCCCTATGTGTTATGATTTGAAAACTGCTATGGTCGCTTACGATGCAGGGACTGTCAACCACCAACATTCAGCAAATTCCTAGTTGGTTACCGACCCGACTAATTATTGAAGATATGATGGAAGTGTGGAAATGTGTATTGGGGTCGGAAGACCGAAGATTAGAACAGAGGGAAAATATATCTAATATCTAATAGACAGTTTGTCGTTTAAAATAATACTATTAATTGGCTGATCTATCGTGTCTGTCTAACTGCAGATGAGATAACATAAAATATTTTTTGATTGGTTCCTCTCCAGACTAGTCTTTTCTATCCCTATATCTCTATGATTGTCACAAGCCTCTCCCTTTTCATAGACTATGGTCGGTGAAGTATACCAATCTGAAGGCATTAACCTCTGCTTCCCATACACTACCTAGTACCTTCGTCAACCTAATCAGCAATATCTGACCTCCATCCTTGAAAATCACAGATGGCAAATCGTCAAGTTCTGATGCTTTGTATCGTTTCCGGCTCGATAGAGCTTTCTCAACTTCTAGAAGAGCTAGAGGAATAACATCTACATCCCACTTGGGTTCAGACTGGAAGCTGAGCAAAAGAAGCGTTGCTGAGGGGCATCTAACTGTATCTCAAAGTGTTCTGTCCAACGTTTCAGCCGCTCATCCTGGGAGGTTATCAGCATCCCATGCTTTTCGGTGATGGTCTCACTAACCATCGTCTTCTCAATAAGCCTAAGTAGTTGACAAGTGTTACAAGCAATGCTGAGGCCTTCTCCATCTCTCTCGCTTTCGCCAACCACCACTGCTCGTGATCATCGCGAAGACTCTTGGTCAACTTACGTTCAAGTTGCTTTCGCTTTTCACTGTGGTCAGCGTCAGCTGGAATCAGCCTTCTAGCATCAATCAGTTGGATGACGTCGTGGAAATCCAATGCCCTTTGTGAACCTTCGGTTGAAGGTTACCAATTTTCTTTACAGCCTTTTTTATAGCAGACTTGCGCCAGGTTTCCTCAAGGTGAGCATTGTTGATATGTTCAGATAAATCCTTATTTAACTCTTCAAACGACTACAGAGAGGATTTACTGTTTCCCACGACCAGCAAAACCTAGACAGACGAGTACACGTAAGCATGTGATTAGGGTCCAGAAAGAAACGCAATCCTGCAAGGATCCTTTCCAACAACTGTTTGTAGCAATGTAATCCATCTCTATCCATCGCTGGTTTGATGTCAGCGGACGTCAATAGACTGTCTCTATGATTAAAGTTAACACTGGCCAGAAACAAGTGACTGTCGGAGCGGAATTGAGACAGACTGTCACCGTTTTCGGTTCGTTGGCATGGGACTTCGTAAATACATACAAGATGCTTTTCCAATTGGCTCAGCTACCCAACTGACGGTTAAAGTGACCCGCCATTACTAGATATGAAAGCTTCGCTTTCTGTAGCAAAATTGAGAGCTTTCCATAGAATCCATCCTTTGAATCATCCGAACTACAGTCGGCTGGTGCACAGGCGGATAACGTATGAACATCGGTTGGATTTAATCGTTCCTAGTTCTTACGGATCCGTTCAGTCCCGACCGATAGCTGATACCTTGACGTGGTGGTTGGGCTTGCATATCACAATGACCCAACAAGCTATGCTGGTGTAACACTTGTTCCCTCGAGGTCCTACCATACCAGAAAGGTCTGTTCGACAGTGGTCAGACGAAAAGCAGTTACCGTTGTGGTGTAAATTCCTACACTATGATGGGGTATGAAGGCGAAGTCGTACTGTTGCTAGCTCGACAGCGTGTGACAACAGTAAGGTGTTTCCCTTGGATGACCAGCAGTACCATACTGATGCTGCCTTCTCAGTGGAACGGGGGAATTAGAAAAGGTCGACCCCAAAAATAACACACTCCATCACACCTCATGGTCTACCGGGACGGCGGTGTTGGTTCATTTGTCGTTCCTTCTCGACCATTCCGGCACCAAAAATACAAAACTTCAAAATAATCATACACAAAAGGCTTCGTGTGACAGGCCTCAAGCAGATGTCCGATGGACTCTGTGGTCACACAAATCTCTTTCAGGTACATCAAGAAGAAATAACCTTCCACGGTGTGGACAGCCCGGGAAGTGTCACAACTCTGTCACCACTCAAGTTTCCTCAGACTGCTATCCACCTCCCACCTCATTACCTCCTAATCTTCCTTCACGTCTCCCAACTAACGATACACTACATCATCTTCAATTTCTCCTAGCTCTGTAGCCTTCGACAACGATCTCAGTCCACAGAACAACATCCCTGGTCTCCTTAAACCACACTCCAAATTACATATTGGAGCCTTCAAAGTCCGCACCCTCCATCAAATTGGTCAACAGGCTTCGTTAGCAACTTGAGCCATGCATGTGTGCTGTGTTTGTGAGACACCCACACAGGACCCAAGTGCGGTTGTTCACCTGACCTCTCCTGACCAATCTGATGAATCCGCAAGAAAAATTCACCCTTCGAGTTTCTGCAGATTCGATGGCTAGCTCTCGTGGTCTTGCAGGTGTAGGCATAGCATTAAGCACTAGGGCAGAAAACTCACTACTAGACTCGATCCCAGTTGACAGTGGCCTCTGCGCTATGAGGCTGAATGGCACGGTAACAACTAAAAGGAATGGTGAGACTCGCCGTTGTCTCTTTGTAATCTGTGCTTACACACCCATTGACTGTAGTTCGGATGAAGTGAAGGAAGAGTTTTGCCGAAGACTATTTAGCCTTCTTTAGAAAGCCATAGGTACGGAAGTAATGGTTGTTGCAGGTGACTTCAATGCATAGGTGAGTAGACTGAGTGAGACAGAAAGGCACTTAGGTGACACTTTCGGAGTCCCGGCTGAACGAACAGATAACAGTGATTGCCTACTACAACTGTTCTCAGATAACCACCTATTTTTAGTTAGCACAAATTTCAGACATAAAGAAAGACACTGTCTGATCTGGCATCCACCGAGCTCAACTCAGCGATGGACACAGATACACCACATTGCTATTAGTCATCGGTGGAGAGGATCGGTGGAATACTGCCGCTCTTTCTGAAGTACATGTTTGGATAGCGACCACATGTTGGTCCGATCGCATGTATACCTGCGTCTCAATGGACGCAAAAGAAATTTGGCAACAAAACCACCACGAATGCTGCTGGACAACGAAAACACCAAGGCTGTGTTCAGTGAGAAGTTGACTAGACAGACAGTTATCGGAACAGAAGACTATCACTCATCCAGAAGAAGCTCGATGCCATCTCCAGTCTGCTGTAAAAGCAGCACTGAAGACCGTAGTCGACTCAGAAATAGTAGCTAAACAGAGCCAGTGGATACCAGCAACTTCTTCTCAACTGATGGATGCACATGAACGCATCCCTGCCTGTACGCTCTGAGTACAGTGTAGAGGGAGCGCAACTTAAAAGTAGATTGAGAAAAAGTCTACGCAACGATCGCGAACAGTGGTGGACAGCGAAGGTTAAACATATAAGAAAGGCAGCGGCGATTGGTAATGGTAAACAGTTATTCAGACTTATTAAGGAAACTCGGGGAAAAGACACACAACACTTAGTGAGGCTATAGTGGAGAAGGACGGATCTGCGATTCACTCGCAGAATAGACGACTCGTACGATGGGTAGGACACTTCGAGGAGCAGTTCAACTGGCCTCCAGCCACCATTGAGTTGTCCGCTATCCAGTCGGATCCTGAACGGAACACTGGAATAGGCCCCCCAACACTAGTAGAAGTCGAGAAAGTGGTAGGTAACCTGAAATGAGGAAGGGCGGAGAGACCGACACACTAACTCCCGAGGTATACAAGGATGGTGGTAAGGTGCTCTTAGTCAGGTTAACTGGAGTGTTAACCAGTATATGGGAATCAAATACGATCCCCTCCGACTGGTCTAAGTCACTCATCATCCCAGTCTTCAATAAAGGCGAGAAGTCCTCTTGTGATAAGCACAGAGGAATCAGCCTGACGAATATAGTATCCGAAATCCTAGGTTCTATAATTCTCCGATGCCTGAGTGGAGCTAGGGAACAGCACGCCCGAGAAAACCAGGCAGGCTTTAGACCTGGCTACAAGTGTATCGACCAAATATTCACACTCTGCCAGGTCCTGGAACATAGGCACGCTTACAGACGCCCGACAATAGCTGTGTTTCTCGACCTGAAGGCAGCGGCATTCGACTCCGTCGATCGACAGCGAAGCTTCCTGGCCGACTCGACAAAGTTTTGGCGTTGAAAGCTTTTACATAAACTCGACGACGAGGACTTAGGAGACTGGGAATGTGGTTTCGATGTCCTTGATCGTTAGCAATGATCGCAGAATGAGGCTGGAAAAGGCGTAAGACGCTTAATATTAGTACCAAGTGAAGGAGGAGAGTTGAGGACAGATTGTTTGATTTGGTCTTGTGCACTACTGGAAGCGTGAGGATGTTTGACATTTCCCAGCTCCCTACACCGTGGAAGGCAACAAGTTGTACGATACATTTGTGACGACTTACGACTAGCTACCGATTTTATTTCAACTACAACTATGACAATGAGGTGCAGTGACCTTATGAAAATTTGTGTGCTACACCAAAACTGAAGACTAGATATCACCTGGTCGTACAGACCTGTGAGGAAAACAAGGGCATGACCTGTCACACGCTGGAAAAGAAAACCATACGAAAGGTAAACCGGTACAGACATATCTAGTAGACTGAGCCACACTGTGAGGTCCATTATAATAGCTATTTGCGAAAGTATCGTACTGACAACCGTATGAATAATTCAATAGCACATAGCTTTATTAGTCCTCTGAAAACCAAATCCTAAAAATAAGCACCTACGCATAGTACATACACCAAAGCCAGTCCTAAAAAAGTAGAGGCCTACACCTATTGCTACTATGCTAAGGAAGATTTATGTAATTTTATGCCATATGCCAATGATTAACTTAGTCAACAAGACTTACTTTAACACCGTCCCCGTCATCCTTTGTGGGTTTGATGAAGAGGTTTACATAATCTAAAAATCCCTTTATTGGAAGTCGCCTGCCGTTAAGAAAAACCTTTACACCGCTGCAAGTAGCGGCCATGTCGTAAGCTCGACGAGTAAATAATGCTACAGTGTCCTCTTCCAGTTCAGTCATACCGAAGCGCGTAAGGTCAGGATAAAATGTGATACATGTGAAGTCTTCTCCTTTGTCAGCTGAAATTTTTGGCTCAGTGGTTTTGTCATATTTTCTACCCAAACCTTCAAAATAAGATTTATTATGAGTAATCATACCTGACGAAAACTTTTCTTATATTCCTTCGAAGATGTCTCTACAATGAACTTCTTGCTGAAGATGTTGCACAGCTTTGCTCCGTAGCCATTCCTACCACCTGTTACTTTCCGTTCAGTATCATCGTAGTTGCTGGATGTGAGAAGATGGCCGAATATTAATGTGGGGACGTAGATATTTTCAACTTTGTGATGTACGACTGGGATACCTTTCCCATCATTCCAAATCCGGACCATATTTTCAGCACTTAGGAAGTTAATAGTGAAAAAAAGGACTTACGGATTAATATCAACTTTAATGCATGTCATAGTGGCGTCTCTCACCTTATTATCAGCCGCATTAACTAAACAATAAGTGAGATTACTAACTTAGTAGTACCCAGGATCTCGTCGAAAATCTTGTAAAGACCAGGGGAATATGTTATATCTCGGTTGACCATATACTGTTGTTGCTCATCAAGAACCCACATTTGTTGGGTATCCTTGATTGTGGATCCAATGTACGAGTCAGGTCGAAGAAGTATATGTTCCAGCTGCGTTTTCTTTTGATATATACGCTCCACCGACAATCTTTTTTTGTTAGCCTGCCCTACTGTGTCATTTTCGGAGTTGCTCTGTATGTCACCATTTGGATGTAACAGCACAGAAGTATCCATTTTCAATTTTTTGTAGTGTAACCTGCAACTGTGACTGACAGAAGCAGAACAGCTGTATTTGAGAAGAAGCTTAAAATACGTTTCTAAGGCTCGCAGTCTTTTTGGCAATTCAAACCGACTCACAAGAGACAACACAAAAGTGTCTGCAACTGCGAATTCGCGGAGAACATTCGTATCACCCGCTCTACCGTAAACTAGCTGGCTGTTTCAAACGAGTTTAAATAACTTCAAATTCAAACTTTGTGTTACGAAAAAAAGAAATATGGCCCATTGCTTTTCATGTATGTACTTTAAGAAAACGCTGAGCTCCTCAAATCACCACAGTTTTTGTCCCAAATAAGAGAAACCTATTGGACAGATGATTCAGTTTCAGTTCCAGTTATGAGGATAGTAGGCCAGTTGACCTATGTTAATCACTGCAGAAGATATATCTGTGAAGATCTAGTTTCTCCCTCAACGCGTTGACAGAAGGTATTGATACTGCTTGCTGAGGTAAGTAGTTCCAGTCATTGACAACACGATGGAAGAAATGCAGATTCTCGCTAAGTTGATTCGATCGCGGTTTTAGAATTTCCTTGTGATACCCTCGGAGATAGTCATTCCTAGCAAGGGAGAAAAGATAGGACATATCAGTGCCGAAGTCATTATTAGGAATACGAAATGCCAGTATGAGATCACCCCCGTTTTCTACGGTAAGACAATGGGAATAAATCTAGCTGATCTAGTCGTTCTTTATAGGACAGATTCGAAAGGCCTGCCACAAGCTTAGTACCTACCCTTTGAACACGTCCGAGTGTACCGGCATCCTTTTTTAGGCGTGGGCTGGCCGCTTGAATGCAGTATTCCAAGTGAGGTCTAACGTAGGTAGAGTATTCTAAACATGTCCTCATCGAAAAATTTGAAAGCTGTACGGAGGGACCATAATATACGGAAGCCTTTTGCTGCAGCTGCATTACAGCTTGCCGAGGTTTTCAAATCATAACTAATGATGACCCCTAAGACTTTTAATTCAAGGACTGAAGTAGTGGTGTACCATCAACAGAATTCTGGAAACAATTGCTATGACCAATGTGCATTATTGCACTTTTGTTAGAATTGATTTCCAAGCACCAACGTTTGGACCAACCTACTAGTTCATCTAAATCCGCCTGAAGTGCATGCCTATCTGCATCACTAAGTATGGCTCTCCAAATCTTGGTTGCTTTGGACCAGCTCTCTTCTAGTGTCTTCGCTACTCACGGTTTGTTCGACAGCAGAAACCTTTTTTGATACAGCTTACCCATGTCACCAGGTACTAGATAGGTTTTAAGCCTCCTGCTGAAATTGTTAGGAGACGAGGTCGTAAAGGTTCAGTTAACCTGTTGGAAAATAGAAAGCGTTTGGATAGACAGTCGTTCCAGTCCTCTCATACTCCACTGTTGACGGGTGGTTCATCATTTACAGTTTTTGCCATGATACAAAGGGGTGGTTATCGGGGTGGGGAGGACAGCGGGTGGTGTGATTCACCATAATTGTATCAAATCTCATCAACCTGTATTGCATGGGTTACATTTTCAGAGTTTTCGGGTGTCCCAGGCAAGGTTTGTACCGTGGTCCAATCGATTTTTTCCGTTCCGTTTCGGTAAACGTATTCCAGTATGGCTATTTCTCTGCGCAAGCAAAGCGAAGTAGCAAGTGAATTCTTCTCGTATGGCGAACGAATATGTATTCCATACAAATGTGAACGGACCTGGAATTGATCCCACCAAGGTGTGTTAGTAAATGTAGGACTTCAAAAGCCTTGTTTTGCTTTATGCTGACGGTGGACAGAAGCTTGGTGTGTACTGCTAGGAGGTGTAACCTAGATCCCTTTAGGCGCCATATCAAGTGTTATTTATGTTAATAAAGAAGAGAAGACTAGAATTAAAACTACATCTATCCCACATCATCATCCTACAATGACCAACGTAGTCATAGAGCGGGTTTTCGCTTGTCGATTCCTGCACTTTGTCTGGTCATTTTGAAAGGCAGGGATATCTGTTGTCTCCTATGTTTCTTACTAAGTCAGATATCATCTCTGCATAATAATATATGAGGAACAATATTATGTCCCCTCCTTTTCCAATTGCGTCAGTGAGTTACAGCAAATACTAAAAGCTATGGCCCTCCTATTCACTAGTGATGCGCGTCTGGAAAGTCATTAGGACTGATGCTGGATGGTATGCGCCTCAGGTGGGTTCACACATACTGGTAGGCTGGTCGAGGCGCTGGTGCCCGGGAACTAACGGTACATGCATACACCTATATAAATGCACAAAGTTTGCCGAAAAAACTCAACGAACTGTGAGAACTAGGTAAGGACACCTGTGCTCATCTTATAGGTGTTACCGGGACACGGGGTTCTCCTGACTTGTCAAATCAGGAGTCGGCAATTACTAACACCAGGCTGTTTCGCGGCGACAGGAAGACCGGTAGGAGGGGGCGGCACCAATCGTTGGCTGTTTTGTCATACCTCACCAAGTTCACATTCGAGAATTCGGATGCATCCATGCGTCCATCCGGTGCATCATAAAGCTACCAAAGACTACAAAGTGCTCGACACTTGACATTTATAGGAAGGCGTCTTCTGACGAACAGTTTGATGATCAGTTGCCAGAGGTAATCAGTTGCTCGCCCAAAGTGCAGTACATACATACTACTTTTAGGCGACTTGGGCCTACCGATGATTAACTTTTCAGAGCACACGTTTAGCGGGAGTGAAGATTCCATTGAAGCCTGACTATTCTTTCTGATTGGGGAACTAGGGCTTACGAAAAATGTGAGAACGACAACACAATCCAGGACTCAAAATTTATCCCGCTTAGACTGCACCTTTACAAATGAAGAATTCTTGGTTGAAAACTTAGCAATCCTTCCTCCTTTGGGAAGGAGTAACCGTGTTCTTATCGGCTTCCAGTATGTCAGCCGGATCCCGTCCAACCAGGCCTTTCAACAACAGTCGTTGCACTCCAGACAACTTAACGCTCCGGCTCTTCGAATGGTGCCGGAACAGGCAGGTTGGAAGCTTAACCGTGTACTGCAGGATCTGAATGCCATTGGGGATTCATACTTGATAAGATCATATATGCAATCGGCAAGTCTTTTCCACTTTTAACGCCAAAGTGCCTCTGGTTGACTATGGTAATAAAAGACTACACTTGCAAATTACTAGGATCAGAGGGACACCACTCTGTCAGACAGCAAAGAACTGCGCCGACTACGCTTAGAAACAATCCAAACAAACAAGAAACACATGTACAAAGTCAGTGGGAGGCAACTGGAAGTGGCATCGAGTTGAGCCCACAAACAAGTTCGTTTCTAACGCGAGAAGTCTATTCCTCCACTTTGCTCCATTCTGGCAGGCTAAAGAAGGAGCCTCCCAACTACCGGGTACCAACGCACTGACTACTCGCGACACTGAAGCAGCCGGATGGAGCTTGAAGCGTTGCTGGTGGAGAAAGATTTGGGTGTTTTGGTCTCTCAAGTTAAAATCCTATGCCAACTGTGACAGAAATGCATTTCGCGGAACTCGGCGTTGGCAACTCTTGGACGAATTTTCGGGCAGTTTGATCGTAAATGTTTCCATCAAATTTTAACCAGCCTCATACGGTCTCACTTGGAGTTCAGGATCATCGTCCTCCCCGTTTATCTGCAGGAGGACGAATCAAGCCCAGAACGCTTCCAGAGGTGCCCGACCAAATTTGTGCGAGGACCTAGGTCTAAAACATACGAAAAACGGCTGGTAGCGCTGGGTCTGTATACCCTAGAATCTAGATGCCTGAGAGGAAACCTGATAATGACTCATAACATCCTGGGCACCCCTAGACACCTACTCTGCCACTTGTTGAATCTCAACTGCAGCAATAATCTCAGGGGGCACGAACAGAAACCGAGGCTGGAGCATAGCGGGTTAGATACCCGGCACAACCATTCCCTGATAAATGCTAAACCCTAAAGCCCTCTTCTTGAAAACGTGATCCAGGTTACTTCGTCCGAATCCTTCGAAAGCCGTCTGGATACTTATTCGACATGTGTTTCGGATCTCTCAAGAGCTAACTGAATTTTCACACAATTATCGCCGCGTTCCTTTCTCCCCTTGCTTGTACGCAGATTAACAACCACAAGAGGTAGTGATCCATGGATTTTAGACGCCGAAGCCAGTGAAGTGAAACCTCCTTCTCCTCCTTCAACAACCATCTGAACCATTCGAATGTGTAACAACGCACACTTATCATAGAAATTCATCCGAGTATTCTGCTGATGATACTCCTTAGCTCCTAGAAATAAAAGAAACTAAGTGCCATCGTAAGTTACGATCCGAAAACATCCTCAAACCACAGTCCTGCTGCAATGAAAGTCCTCCGCGTGTCATGATCTATGCACGGAGCTTTCAAGTCTTCATCATGATATGTTCAGGATACTCTACTGTAAATGGGTCTGGTTTAGCTTTTAATGCTGTACCCAGACAGCTAATTCACAGTCAGAGAGGGATATCGACTTGCTGAAACTTGCTCTGGGAGTACGCAGCAAAATTGTGACCAGCCTCCCCTATCTGCTGTATGAGGAAACACTGGGTTGACTGAATTTATAGTGATTGCCTCGTCATGGAAAAGAGAACATCGCCGTACTGGCATT